TAATAATAATAATAATAATAATAATAATAATAATAATAATAATAATATCATCCTCATCTGGCAGTGATCCCAGTGGTTAATGGAACACTGGGTGCCTATCAAAAAACCTGAAATAGTATTTAGGAAACCTGCGCATTGACAAAATTTCCATCTGCCAGTAACAAAAGGCATACTGCTTAATCTGCACATATATTACGCTGATACATTACGACATCCTGGGTTTTTGAGAAGAACTCAATGCAAATGAAAGCCAGCTGGCAGTTGTGGTTTCACATTATGAATAATAATACATTTTTAATCTATCCATCTATTGCCAAATCAAGGTAGCAAATATACCTAATATTCTGCCTATTTTCCCCACAACAATCCTGTGGGGTGGAGTGGGTTTACGGAAAGAGGCAAGCCCAAAGTCGCCCACCCAGCTTTCGTGCCTAAAGAAAAATATACTCCTAGTTTCTAGGCCAGGACATTCACTACTACACCAGCTCTTACATCCTGCTTTGCTTGCATAGACCCCTTTAAGAATAAGAATTGCAAACCTGATGCTAATGCATTACCAAGCCTGTTGGATTTACCCTAGGAATTCTTATAATAGCTACAGAAAAGGGAATTTCTCCTATGGAATAAATACTGACAGGATACCACACAGGACACATCCTTGACCCTTCCCTCTCTTGCTCACATATATATATTCTCTTGGCATTCTCATAAATGCTGCTTCAGCTCAGTGGAACTAGATACGGGCACATATCTGCGTTGGCTCTGTTTGAAAATTTCCTTTCCAGCCAAGGATGGTGTTTATGAAAGCTGCAATATATTTCAATCATTCCTAAAATGTAACTTTATTTCTAGCTAAACACATACCCGGTAACCACTGAAATGAGTAGTATCACTGTAGTTGGCATGAAGCTTAGAACAAAAATATTTTCAAGTGGAGCTGACCTCAGCTTGAATCTGGGATTCCAGAAAGAGTCCAAGCATCAAAAACACAAACAGCAAGAAAGGAACAGTGGGTAGGAAGCAAGAGCAATGCAATGCAGTGTGCCAAATAATTTGTTTCAAGGCCTTGAAAATATTGAATACGTGAAAAACACTCAACTGTGCCTCGAGAGACTTGGTTTTGTGCTTGTTAGCAAAGTATCGCCAAATTTAAGGAGCAACATGGCTGCAATTTTGTTAGATAGTGGGTGGGGGCGGACAATAATAGGAGGGAGGTTGGTGTGAGCAGGGACCTAGAGGCAGGCCATCTTGGTGACTGCCCCACCAGTATGAAGCACGTTGACTTCAGAGATCAGGATGGACCTCATATTTTCCTTTTTTTAAAAAATGGCAGACAACTTCATTTTGCTGGTCCTAGGGAGCATAAGCAGGTATTTGTTGGGTTGCCTTTTTCCCCCGATTTCTTTTTCGTTTTACATTCAGTGTGTTTTTCCTTTTATGGAGTTTATTAGAATGGAAGGGTTTTAAGGGTAGTCTATGAATGTTGCAATAAATAAATGGGATCCCAGCTGGCTGAATCACAGAATTGAGAAAAATGCCGCTTTGAACAGAAGTTAAGAAGTTGCATTTTTCTTTGCTCCACTTTAAGGCTGCATAAATAATGAAGCTTGATCAAATCAAAAGCCTAGCTACATGGACCTCATTCATCCCAAATTCCCAATTCTCCTGCTTGCTAGTAGCACCACAGAAGGAAGTCGGACCAAAATTACTAATCTTCTCCTTTTCCCTGTATGTGTATGTGTATGGGGGGCGGGGGGGGGGCGGCATATCTTTGGATGAGTATTGTTTTCCTCAGTGATTTCCTCAGGTTTTCCTCACAGTTTTTTTCAGAAAAAAAGAGAAGCAGTCTTCTGGATAATTAACATTCCCTGCAATCAGTGCTTTTATCTAAGGTAGGAATTCAAATTGATCATGCAATAGGGAACAATGAGCAGCTCACAAGAAAAATATCAGCTGAGGACACATTTGTCAGTCTTTGTTAGCTTGTGCCTTATCCTTTTCTCACCCAAGAAGGCTGAAGTGGTCATACACTTGCACTCCTTATACATTTTATTTATTTACATACAAATGAAGTCACTGCAGTCATTGGAGGTTATGAACCATCATCAACCATCATGTGAGTTAGTAGATAGATTCACCCCCCTTTCCAGTCCACGGATGAGAGAAAGAGAGAGAGAAAGAGGGAGAGGGAGAGGGAGAGGGAGGGAGGGAGGGAAGGAGGGAAGGAGGGAGGGAGGGAGGGAGGGAGGGAGGGAGAGAGAGAGAGAGAGAGAGAGAGAGAGAGAGAGAGAGAGAGAGAGACTAGCTCAAACCCAACCAGTTTTCATGTCTAGGGAAGGACTGGAACCTGAATCTTTTTCCTCCTATTCCAGTTCCTGAACCACTATGCCACAGTGACTCTCACCCATGCTTACACATATATCCATATATGCCTGTGTTTTAAGATTTTTCAGCTTATGCTCTTCTGTGACCTGTGTACTTCCAAATGGAGACAAAATTTAACTCACAGAGTAACAAACCTGACCATAATGGAACCTGCTCTTACTAGGATAAAGTTTTTGGAGACCCAATTTGGTCTAGTGATTAAGGCACCAGGCTACAAACAGGGAGACTGTCAGTTCTAGTCTTTAGCCATGAAAGCCAGCTGGGTGACTTTGGACTAGTCACTCTCTCTCAGCCCAATTTGCCTCATAGGGTGATTGTTTTCGGGGAAACATGAGGAGAAAGGTATGCTGGATATATTCTCCACCTTGAGTTATTTGTAAAAATAATAAAGGTGGCATACAAATGAATATAAAAAGCACCCCTTCATTATACTTTTCCTTCCATTTTAGCTCCCACTCCCACATAGCCATGGAAGAGATCAGTTCTGTTTTGATATACTCCAAGATTATGATTGTCCAAGGCTGTAGAATTAATAATGAGGAAAGGAAGGATACCAGTGAGTATAATTTTTGCAAAATAAAAATAAAAATTGTGATGTTTGCATGTTATGCACATTATTTCATTTTCTATTTAGCTTCAGGCAAGGGGATACAAGTGGGACTCCTAAAGGCAAAAACATGGGATGGAATAGTCAAGTTCATTCTCTAAGAATAAAATGCTCTAATCCATATCACAGATCATCCCTTCTGAATGATTAAATGCAGCAATTAATATTCAGTGACATTAAAGTCATCCATTACAGACTGATTTTTACATTTTACTAGTCACGTCAAAAACTCACTAAAGAACCTTTTTTAATTTAAGATGGAAACTGCAACAATCATATAGGGAGACATCTCCATAAAGCAAAAGTTGTAATGAGTTAGAAGAACATATACAAGGAGGAATTTCTACTGAGTTTCTTCCAAAGAAAAGTCTCTCAGATCCCAGTTACATCCAATTTTGACATCCTGTGACAATCTGATGCAAAAAAAAAAAAGCCCCCATCCAAAAAAAAGATTGTCTACAGAGTTGGAAAGACAAAAGACATCAGAGACAAATATTCAACAATACAGAAAGTTGTTCACTAAAAGCAAAAGCTTGGATTTCAGATTATTCATATACAAATGTAACCAGTCTGCTCCTTTCCACATCTCTAAGCTGATATTCCTGTTTTCTCCAAGTTGATATCATAGGAATGTGCAGTTTGAAAGCATGCAAATGCAAGTAGGTAAATAGGTATTACATATAAGCTTGCAGGAAGGTAACAACATTCTGTGTTTCGCCGTACGGTCTGTGCTGCGGCACAATTTCATGCTGGCCTCACTCCAGGCAACACTGGCTCTTTGGCTTAAGAAACAGAGATGAGCACTGCCCCTTAGAGTTGGTCACGACTAGTGGGGTAAAACCCAGAGACACCTTTACCTTAATTTTATTTTCATGTGCAAGTTTGATTCAAGAACAGACTTACATCTTATATAGAAAATTATATTAAAAGCCACAAAATGAAGTGCTTATGCTTGGAAAGGGAATTATGCTTACCTCTACAGCATGACTTTCCGTATTAATTATAAATATTTGTCCACCAGAAGCAGCCCAGATGGTTTCTTCCATCACAAGAAGACCTCTGACAGGAAGAACTCCCAATTTCACTATTTTCTGAGGTTCTGAGTTCCATGTCCCATCTTTTGCAAAAAGAAATGAAAGATTTAATTTTTTTAAAAAAATCACTTTATTTATATAATAATTACCTTGATATACTTATTAATGATAAAATATTCTTGCCTCAAATGGATTTTTTTCTACCTTTTGTTCTAATTCAAAACCATTTTTACCAAAGTCTGTAGCCAGAGGGTGGGTATCTTTTATATATAAATAAAAAGCTAATTCTGGACAGTAACTCAGGATTTGTCATTAATTCCATTTAATTAAATATAATATCCTTCCCTCTGCCCTCCAGCAATGGAGAAGAGTTCTCTTCTATTTGATTTAGCAAGTATTCATCTTACTGTTCAATAGCTTCCTTATTTTCTCTATTGTGTAGCACCATTGGCATTTCAACAGAGCTGGTAAATTGGCCCTGTAAACAGAGATTGTTAATTGAGTAGTGCAATGGTGCATAAACAGTAAGAGAAATGATTACATATTGACTTGTTTTTATCTCAGCAGAGCAAGACTAAAAATACACAGCAATAGTTAAAAGGAATTCAGTTTTAACACTTTTGAAATTAATGTTTACTTCAGTGATTATTCAGAATAACAGCTATCATCAACAATTGAAGGTATCAATATATACTAAGAGCAAAATAAAAACTTTTCATGATGTTATCATTGTAGCAATTCCTCCTCAGGAAAAGACCCTATTCAGTGTTTTAATTCTTCAACTGACATAGGTAGTTGGGAAAGAATCACCAAGAGCAATAGAACTGTATTTATTTTATTTATTATTAAGCCTCTATGCTGCCCATTTCACCAAGGTGACTCTAGGCAGCTTACAGTCACATAATTAAAAGACAATATAAAACCTTAAAAGAATAAACAAAAGCCAGACACTTCAAATCAAGTTTAAATTCAATTGCATTTGCCCCTTTCACCATTATAGTTCTCTCTGAAATATAAGGCTCTTTAACCAGATCATTTTACTGAATTCTAAATAGTGAACATTACCCAGTTCAAGATGCCAACACTAATCTATAAAACTCTGAAGAAACTGAGATACATGAACCTGCCCCAAACATACAAAATAACTTCTAAAATAATTATCCCTACCTGGACAAATGAGATTGGTGAACTCTAAAAGTGACAGAGACTTTTTGTGACAGAAGTGCCCTGAGTCCTCAATTCTTCCAAGGGAGATCAAATTACCCTACCTCAACTTTGTACACCAGATGACCAATACTGCATTCTCAAGTTGAAATTCTACTAGTCTTTAAAGTTCTTTTCTGGTTTCATGATGTCAAATGCTCTCCTTTCCATCTTTATGGTGTAAGATTCTGTTAATTTTCTTTTAATTAATACAAAATACCTGAATTTTGTACATTGCCCTGAATGCCATTGCATGATTTATAAATTATGTCAAGTCAGTAGTTATTTATCAATTATGTCAAATCAATAATTGATATTGGAGACATCACAGGAACATGGAATTACTACCCCTGAATCAAATAAAAGGGCTTTCTGGGTAGGACATTAAAGACTGACCAGTTTATTTTCTCTTGGTCATGGGAACAACTGAAATATAACACATCAACTCTCTGAATGTGAGTGTTAAACAGCATTAGAAGCTGAGAGAAATATATCTGCATTTTATTTTTTTTCTGCTGATACTTAAAAAAAACTGGCAATGTCAGGAATTGTTAGCAAACTTGGGATGAAAAACATTTTGACCTGCAGAATTAAGTAGTGCAACTTGGATTCTCCAATGTCAACTTGTACCAATTATTATTGGATCAAATCCTCTGTCCCAGCCTTTATTATATATCTGACAAAATAGGTCAGCATTTCATTAAGCTGCCTCTTCAGCATGATTGGAAAAGCAGCTTGAGCTGACTAAGATTATAGTTACAAAACTGGGAGAAAGAGTGAGATTTCCTTTGTAATCTAGAGTAAGAAATAATTTTGTAATTCTACTTATATCTGCTGCAAAGAATATTGAAAGCTTCGTTTTATTTCATGTTAGTTTTTTCCTTCCTTCCTTCCTCTCTTTATTATGACTTTCTTTTATGCTGTTTTAACTTTTGACTGGGAGCAGCCCAAAACTGGTACAAATGTTTTAAATAAATAAAATTAGTTTGTAATGTTCTTGTAAAACTTTCAATAAAATTTGTTTAAAAAATGTTACAAAGTGGGAGGCAGCAAATGCTTATCTAAGAAGGGAACATGGAGACCATTGTATGTTCTTTCTTAAGACCAGGGCTGTCAAACTCCTGGCCCAAGGGCCAGATGCGTCACACGCTAGCCACACCCAGTTTAGTGAAGGGTGAAAAAGTCTCATACATCATGTGACACCACCGTGACGATGCACGTTTGACATCCCTGCTTTAGACATAAAAAAAGCTATCACAGCAATCCGAAGCAATGGATGTGCTTTGATCTCTCTTCTTAATATATACCCAGCTATTTGTGATATAAAAAAGAAGTTTTAAATATATGATGCTGATAACTGATTGTATTTTTGCAAAAATATGCCATCCTACTATTAAGAAGTTCAACATCCACAATAAAAGTAATAGAATTGAAGCAAGTACTTAGGAAAACCTTGTCCTGTCTTAAGATGACAACCTACCAGGCAGGTGTTTTACTATTCGTAATCTTGTTGCATAAAGAAACAAGAACTGCACATGTGTTTGGTAGATGCCAGGCTGAGGGAGTCAAAATTTCTCCTCTAATCCTTTCTCCATAAATAAACAAGATATTTCATAATTTTAAACTTAACACTATACTTAAGATCATTATTGCAATAGAAGAAAATATATGTACCTCATGTTTAAATTGTGGAGTTCTTGGTGTTCTTTGATGTGGTTGTTTGCTTTGAGACATTTGATTACCCAAGTTGGATTCACATTGATGTAGTTAGCTAATTGGGTAATGAAATGCCTGAAAGCAATCAACCAGACTTAGAGGGCACCAAGGAACTCCACTGATCATTATTTTGATTTAACTGTATTAAAAGTTAACGAATAGTTACTCCTCTTTGTTAACTTTTAATACTTTTTAATAAGGAGCTTCATTTTTAACTAGTATATACTAGACCATTTTCAGGAGATCAATACATGGAACAGGACAAACTACCGGCATAAAAATTTAAATGTACGTTATTTTTCAATTAATATTACAATAGATAGTTTAAAAATAGTGTGTGCGTGCATGCACAAGATATAGCCTTAAAGCTATTTTATGTTACATCTTAAAATAGATATATTTATGTCACCTCTTAAGAAAGATTTGGAATTAATTCCTTATGAACTAACATGCAGTATCTACATAGACTTTCCCATCCTACTGCTCCCCAGCAGTGAAAAGGCTGCAGTTCCCCTAATTTTCAGGCCAGATGAACTAAAACTTACAAGAAATGGCCAGCCCACCCGAATTCTCTTCAATTAGAAAAGGCTATGTGAACTCCTGTGAAAACTGTCATCAGGAATGTCAATATACATAGGTTTGTGGTTGAGGAACCTGTTTCTAATGTAAGAGTTCCTATTCTCAATCTGCATGGAAAAATTGAGACATGTATTGCTAATGAAATTAGAGACTAAGCAGATTTTTCAAATATATATGCAATTTCCGATGACCGCTGGTACCACAGCAATCCAAAATAAAAATGTGAATATGAATGTAGGAAAGAAAACACAGTAATGAAATCTATGTCTATAAATATTGCAACTCAGAAATCCTTCTGGATATCCCATAACATTCCTGTACCTTCCAATTTGGTGTAGATTGCAATGTTTCCATTGACTAGGCCAGCAAATAAATGATGAGTCTTGTATGCTAAGCTCATCACAGTAGACTTCTCAGGAGCAAAGAAGTGTTGAAGACGGATTTTCTTGGACCCTTGACTACTTTTGTAAACAGAGATGCTATTTAAAAAGAACAGGAAATAGTTTAAAAATCATGATATGAAAAGAAAAAAGGATTCAACATTACATTCGAGAGTTTCTTCCTCTATGCTATTTTACTCTTTGTTTCTCTTTGTAACACCTAATGCAGGACTGTGTGTGTATTGCACATATACACACACATATACAGTACATATCATAGCACTGATATGCTGGGTGACTGAACACAATGATGTCATGGTATAAACTCTGTATTCGATGAAACAAAACATAATATATGACTTACTTAGACACTCATAATTCTACATATATCCATAGTCTCAAAATAACATTTAAAAATTAAGAATCCAAACCAAAACCTAATAAAGCTTAAGTCAATCTACAAACTCTATTTCTATACTATTTCAGAATGTACAAGGAGAGAATTTGTCAGCTACAAAACACAATGTTTACTTTCTGAAACATTTACACAGAGAGATTGGGAAAAAACAGAGGGAACAATACATTTCTTCTAATGCAGGAAAACGAATGCTTTCCACTTGGAAAACAATATTTTCTTCATAATGCAGAAATTTTCAATATCTAGACCTACATATAATGTATCTGATGCTTTTCAATAAATATTATTTCTTTTTTTTCCCTTTGTCTACAGAATAACTGGAACCATAGTGCAAGGAATTAGTGAAAGAATGAGAATGAGAGACTAAAAGACTGACCAACATCACCTAAAACATGTCATTACGTTTAAAGCCATATTACTATAAAATATTTAATATGTTTGCCTTTATTTATTTGTGGCAAATTACCAATGATTACCATTTATTTTATTTCTGAACACATCCAGCTACTTGCAAAGAATGGGAAATCATCCTCATTTGTTTAAATGAAACATAACATTTCCTATAGGGATGTGCAGAGTTTTAAGTAAATTAGATCTTTCAAAATAACTATGATTTTAGCATTTGCTAGAAATAATTGATTTAGTGCAACACTGTATTTTCAGCTCCCTCTCCCTCCCTCCCTCCCTTCGTCCCTCTGAGCTAAATAATCTATAGAGCTAAATAATCTACAGAAATGAGACACAAGTATGAAAAATACCTTCCTTCTTCCATGCCTAGACAAATAGTAGGCACACTAAGGGGTTTTGTAGCCACGTCTCCAGATTCAGGAAACATATTATCTGATTCTTTGGATTTCTCATCTTCTGGAATGTAGACCATACAGAGAATTCTTGACTCCACATTGAAGCATTCAATAAGCTTTGGACTGGAGTTTTGAAATGATACAATGGCGATTTGGCCCATTTGATTAGTACAACTGCCAATCTGTATTGTAGAGAAAATTTTTACTTTATTTCATAAGCAATATCTCTTTAACAATAACATTCATAGTTAATATTTACAAAAAAAATCATTAAATTTTAAATAGTTAAATTAAGGAGTTTCTGGAAACTGGACATTAAAAGAAAACAATGATATTACGTGCCTATCTTACTGATTGAAAATACTGGAAAAATATTTCACTTGCAAACCAGTTTTGTTCTCTAAAAGAAACAGTCTTTATTTCTTTAACATTTATGTACATACTTCATAAATGTTTAATGTACAAGAAATAGTGAGATTTCCAGCTTTTATTTGTTAATCCTACAATATAGACATAATTCTATATCAGATCATATTGCCAATGAGATTCATAACAAGTGACTTTTTGCAAGCAATGATGATGATCACCAGGTGTTAGGATTATTTTTTTTAAAATAAAGTTTTATTTGGGTTTTCACACACACAAAATACAAGTAAAACATCTTTTTTGAAAATAGCATGGTCCCGGGTCAAACTTCTTTATACAGACACAAACACAAATTCATGCTAATTTTTGTGTTCTATTCCATATCTTATACTATTCTACATTTTCTATATAGTTTTTTTATCTCTTTTAATTTTCTCAATTTTATTTTAATTATCTCATCTCAATTCAAATCATTATATTTATACTTTGTCTGTTCTGTTTCAATTTCATATTATCTTTTCTCATTAAACAAATTTTCTCCTGTAGTTACTAATTGGAGTATGACACCTTTATATCTTTTAATTATATCCATTCAACTCTTATTTAAACTTCAATATATACTTTAAGGTTATGACCTTCAATATAATACATAATACATAACTTCCAATCAAATTCTGCTTGGTACATTCTTATAATACACACTATATTCTTTAAAGAAAAAAGGATTATAAATATATGTAATTATAAACCCTCATTCCAATTCAGTTCTATAATTAATAATCATTAAAGTCTTAACATCTTTAACATTTCTTTTCAATTAAATATCATACTTCCTTAAAGATACATATAATCTCCATAATTAATTTTTCCCTTATTTCTCTTCACATAGGTTTTGTAAATAATTAAATATTCATTTTGTTATATTTATTTATTGACAAGCATTCCACTAAGTTACAATAACTATTTTATCAAACATTTTAATCATACATTGTTTCATATTTTCTGAAATTATTTCTATTTCTAATATAACAATACTATCTTATGTACCTTTGCAGAATCCCTTTTTCCATTAGATTTTCACCCATTATCTCTAAATAGACCCTGTTTCTCTATATTTTGTTTCTGTCCTTTATAACTTCTTTTCCTTTCCTTCTTCCCTCTCTTCTTCTCCCTCCCCTTTTTACCCCCTTGTCTCTCTACTTCTAATTCTCTCTTCTGCATTTCCCTCTTCTGTTGCTTTCTGATTTTATACTTATTGTTCACTCTTTTCTTTTTTTGGGTTGTTTTTCCCAATCTTAAACTTTCCATTCTCTTTCCCCCCCTTCATTTTTTCCCCCCACCTAAAATTACTTGTTCATTAAAGATGGCTTCCTCTTTGTCCCAATCTTCTTGTTCTACAGGCATTTCTTGTTGTTTCTCATAGTTCCAAATCTCCATTTCTAAGAATTGAAATACGAAGCCAAAATAACCTCTCCCTTCTTGTGAATCTTTGTACTTTTTAAGTTCCATTTTCAATTCTTCTAAAAGTGGAGCCATTTTAAAGTTTTAAACAACCACCTGATTGATTTTAGTCATTGAAATGCAATAACCAAGAATCCAGGGATCACCAAGTAATCCAAATAGTCCCAAGCTGTTTCTTCTTATTTCTTTTTTCACTTTCTCTTCCTGGGGTTTTACTATTTTGTTGATGTTTCAGTTAAGATGTATCTTTTGGAAGTGCTGTTGAGATTTTGCTGTAAGTTCTTTTTAATTCCAGGCAGTCTCCTCCCTTCCAGATCCTGCCCTTTTATTCTTTTTCTCTCCTTTTCTGTTTTCAAAAGCTTTTAATTATCTAGAAATCTTTATTATCCCTTTGACTTTTTATTTTCAGCATTAAATGCCTATTAATGTCAAAGTAGATTTTTTTCCAATTTCTTGCTTAAGTCTCTTAGCTGTCAGTATGGGAAGAGGAGAAAAAAAACCAAATCCTTTCCCTTTTCTCTCTCCTTTGCAGCTTAGAAATCTTCTTTGGGAACAATGTTATTTTTTTTTTAATAGTTTCAATTCCAGGGTACCTTATTTGTTGCTTTTGCTGTTCGACCCAGTCAACCAAAACTTTCTCTTCTTATCTTCTTCCTGCACATTCTTTTCCGGTCGAGTTCTTCTTTGTGGTGGCCATTTCTGACCACTGCTACAACCGCCTTCGGGAAAGGGAGTAGTGGCCAGCTGGGGAGGAGAGATGCGGCTCTCCTCAACCCTGTAGGCAGTCTCCCCCTTCTTCACTACCTCTACGGGGTGGCTTAGCCCCGAAACCAGCCGGCTCGGGGCGCTCCAGCGGCGAGCATGGATCGAAGCCGCGCAGTCGCGGTTTCGGTCTGTCGCCGAAGAAGCTCAAACCGGAAGCCCTCAGGTTTTAGGAAATTATTAACTTGCATGATTTCATGTTGTTAAATATATTTCATAACCTTTGTTAAGATTAAAAACATCTTAGTCTACCTGTACAAGCAGCATACAAGAAGTCACATGCCCACAACTATTTCTGATTTGTGAAATTATTTCCTGAATGTTCTCCATTCATGCTCAGGACCAAAAGTCTCAACGTTTTAAAGTGTTAAGAGGGAGTACACTTTGAGAGCAAGTGATGATTTGCAAAAATTAACATAGGTGAATATTGGACACAGAAATCAACATCAGGCCACAAAATACATGGTTGTATAATGTCAAAGGGTCCATCTATATCCCTACTTTCTTGTTAATATTGAATGTCAAGGGCCAAATTAGACAAGATACTGGGAAATCATTCTCTACCCTTAATTTTTTAAGTGTTTAGAATGGTTTTGATATGCCTGATTGTGTATTATGCAGAATGGATGCTTAAATGTTTCCTAATCTGGCCATACCTCCCATTCTAACAATTTCTAAGAAAAGAAGTCTTAAGAAAGGCTTATGATGAGAACACTGTCCTGCTGCTTTCATGCACTAAACATCACCTGTTCTCTATTCAATTTTCATCTTAAAAAAGCTAAAACCAAATGTGCAGGCTTTTTTTAAAGAACATGGAGTCATCAATATGTAATCCAGCTTGGTATATCTATGTCTGTATCCATATCTGTATCTTATCTCTATTTTTGTTTCTTTTTATGACCCTGTAATCACTTTTTATCAGGGTGGAGACAGGTGACTAAATGGAGTTGAGCATTTACTGGCCAGATGCCCTCCCGCAGATATTTACTCTTTGGCCCTGATTGAGAAAAATCTGTCATTGCCTAGGATTGAACTCTCAACCTTCCGAGTGGGAAGTGAGCAACTTCACATCTATGTCACCATGCCGCATATCTATATCTATAGCTCTATATCCTATAATATCCGTACCTATAATTGTGAAACTGAATTTGCAAAAGTGAATGGATTTATAGACTATTATTCCATTCTCTATAAATGTTATTATATGAACTTTGAAAAAAATTAAATTCTTACCCATAGAAAACCATATTCCGTAGAAAGAGAATCGGGATCACTTTCTTCACATGAACAAGGTTCAGGATTATAAGCAGCACATTCAACCTTAACACACAAAATAAAGATTCTTAGTAAAAATTTCATATATTTTGCTATAGCAAAAAAATAAAATAAAAGAAATAAATAAAAGAAATGAAAGCTTTTCTGCCCCCTGCTAGTTAAACTGAAGCCAATGAGTAAAAGATAAATGGTTTCTATTTTGCAACCTTATGTGGCTCTAATGTATATACAAATATATATAATTAACCATTTTTAACAGTTTTTATTTTTATGTCATTTTTGGATTTTGACATTAAATAAGTTAGTAAAATTGTTTCCAGACCAAATAACTGATAAACAGGAAATAAACTTAACTTTAGGTAAAGTCAATTAGTCCATGCATGTTTCAATCTGTACATTAGTTATTTAGCAAACAAAATCAATGATATTTACCTTAAATTCCTGTTGTTTGGCCATCATAACAGGCATGTGTTTCATAAGGAGTGGGTGTTTCTCTTTTTTAATCTGATTTCCGTCATCATCTATACAGAACCAACCCAGAAGATTTTCATCAGCTGCAATGGCATAAGGGAAAAAATGTCATTGTTTTCAATAAATTATTGTTATGTTTTTATGTTACCAAATAAATATGACACATATTTTCTAGTAACTGTCTCTGTAGAATAACCAAGTAATCAAATGTTTTCTTTTAAAGGCCCACAAAGGTGTTTAATAAAGGCATAAAGGTTAACAATGAGAAGTTCTAGAGAAACATTGCAGTCTTATCTGATTTATTCTAGAAGGCAACATTTATGCATTCAAAAATTTTAAAAATAAATTTTTAAAAGATAACCAATATTTATAAAATCTCTACAGAAAATAATCCCTGATGCAGATATCTATTTAAAATGGTCTTATATATATCTAGCTTCATATTTTCATTAGAGGACTAATTTCTTCAGTATTGCTGATCCTTTTCCAGGACTGAAATGGTTGGTCTTTAGCAGCGGAAGTCAGCCATGGAGATTCCCCTGCAAATAGAGCTGAAATCTTTCTTCTCTCAACTGATTTTTTAGACTTTGAGTTTCCTAAGTTTTGCCAAACTCTGGTCACTGCCTTGGATAAATAATTTATTAACTCATTCTCTGTGAGTGTTTCTCTCCTTCAACGCAATTATTCAGAAGGCACAGCTAACTCTCCTTCAGTTTAATTTATGTAATTTTTAAGCACAGCAAAAGAAAATCTTACCTAAAGCAAGCTTAGCCATTTGCAAACTTCTGATCCATGACTGTTTGATGGCAGGTGTAAATGTATTGAACACAGCCGTAAAAAAAGTAGGCCGTCCTGATCTATTAAAATTAAAGAAAATAAGTCAGAGTGCATTTTCCTATCACCTATATAATAAAAAGTATGCCATATACTCTTTTGGCAGAAAGATAGCAAAGATTCATTAGCTGCAACAGCACCAAATAAATTCTATTGAACAGCATTAGTTTTTCTTTCAACATTGAAAGGAACATTTTCATAACCTGAAAATAGATTTTATTTAATGCCTATCTAAGTAAAGACCTATCAACTCTCCCAGAGTTGTGAAAGATTCTTGGTTTGGGACCAGAGGCTGACATTCATAGTCATTGTATCCCATTATTCTGACTCCATTCATAGCATACATGATCAATGTCCTATATTGATAGCTTTGTACACCCTTTCAGGCAACTGTGGTCTCCTTGCACTGAGAAATACAAGTTATGTCATAGTTGTGATACTATCTCTTTTATCTGTGGGTTGCTGCTGGTGCAAAATCAGAGCTGGCAAATTGGTAAAGTATTGGCATACTGAAACAAGGTTACAGAAATTGAGTAGATTAGGATTTCTTATAACTTCTGAAATATGTTAAGAGAATAAGAAAATAATAAGCAGTCAGGCTGAGGTGGGCACGACTATCCATTCTCATACAAGGAAAGGACGTTTGATTCCTTATGAAATTCTGCTTTTTAAAAACTATCAAATATCTAGAGATGAAGGATTGCTGGCTCAAACTACAGGTAGTCTTCAACTTATGATCATAATTGAACTCAGGCCTTTTGTTGATAAATGAAACATTCGTTAAGTGAGTTTTGCCCCATTTTTACAACCTTTCTTGCCATATTTGTTAAATGAATCACTGCAGTGGTTTAAGTTAGCAAAATGCTTGTTAAAGCTTCCCCATTGACTTTGCTTGTCAGAAGGTCGCAAAATGTGATCACATGACCCCAGCACACCACCATAATTACAAGTCAGTTGCCAGGCACCTGAATTTTGATCACATGACCATGGGGATGCCGTAACAGTTGTGAGTGTGAAAAAGTCCCGTTATAACTTCAAATGGTCACTAAACAAATTGTTGTAGTTCAAGAACTACCTATATACACATATACAGAAAAGACATTGAACTAAATAAACACAGCATCAGTTAGCTAGTGGGATTTTATTTCAGTTCTCTTGGACACCTAAAACGCTTCCTACTTCTATAGTTATGAGGTGCATACTGTCTATTCACATCTTGAACATAGTATAAATGTTGAGGTACCGTTTGCCTGGAGCTTATTACGCAGCAATGGAGAGCTGGAAAATTGCTGCCAGAAAAATGTCTCACACATAAAGACAGATCCTATCAAGATCTGCTTCTGAGCACATGGCTATCATCATTATTTTGCAACACTAAACATGATCCTCCTTCCTCCTACCCAGAAGCTACATTTTACTGTGTTGGCTTTCATCACAACTTCCCCTCAAGTGCTTTCCAGAAAATTTATGTCCTCTGTATTTCAAGGTTGCTACTAACTTGTCCTGTTTTCCTGGAAGCTGAAGTTGAATTCGACAGCGGTCTGCGGCTCTAATTTCATCTTCTTTTTTCAAAATGAGTTTTTGTAAACCTGAAGTCCAATCATGAGCCACTGACTGATTTAAATTCTGGTGGAACAACAAGAACAAATGTTGAAGTTCATATAATGTTACATTAAGTTTATTTTTTTCCATCATATCAAAAACCTATGAAGCTGGACTACAAACCATTTTAAGATGCACCATCAGAATTTAAGCTGATATATCTTTTGCAGATGCAGTCTGGAAAGACCTGCATTAAATAACAAAAATCTACTGCCATTCTATGTAATTTTTATTTGAAAGGAACACAGGCACAGACATACTGTACAACATGGATTAAAACAAAGAGGGGAAAAAACCATGTCAGTAGGATTAAATAATACTTAAATAGACCTCATGGCATAATTCTCTATGCTAAAGAAACACTGCTATTAACTCACGATACAAGCGTATGACATTTTTCTTAACATCACTGAATAAAAATACCTTATTGAATATCCTATGCTTAGATTGCATTTACACAAATAGGTTAAGTACAACTAACTCAGCAAGGCATCACTAATTACTTACAACTTTACAGTTTACCATTTAACAATAATCACATTAGCATCACATAAAATATTATAGGTGTTTGCTTAATCTGAAAACTTAATTCTACATCCATTACTTGTTACCTGGTAGTTTCCCTTCAGGCTGCTTATTAGTTGACTGATTTGGCCAACTACATTCAAGTCATGTAAGAGATTCTGCAAATCATTGTACAGTTGCCCTGGTCCCATATAAAGCTTATCTGAAACATAAAAATATGCTATTAAATGTATGCATAAAGTAAGACAGTTATTAGATATTGTAACCAAAATTACAAGAATAGTACCTAAAGTGGATATAAAAAGTCTATACACCCCTGTTAAAATGCCAGGTTTTTAAGATGCAAAAAAAGAAAGAAAAAAGTCAGACCAAGATAAAACACTTCAAATTTTTTTCCACCTTTTAATACAATTATAAGCTATACAATTTAACTGAAAAGCAAACTGAGATTTTGTAGGGGGAGGGGGGGATAACAATAAAATATTGTAAAAAATGCGGTTGCATAAGTGTGCTCATTCCTTTTAAGTAAACATGTGGCTGTGGCAGAAATAACCAATCACATTCAAACTGATGTTAAATAGTAATCTGTACACACCTGCCACCAATTAAAGTGACTCTGATCAAGCCCATATAAAGCTCAGCTGTGGTAGCAGGGTTTTTCTGACATTTACTCAGTTGCCTCTTAGAGCAATTGGACAGTATCAGACAGGAGAAGGATGCAAAAAAATAAATAAATCCAAGGCATTGGATATACCTTGGAACAGGAATTGAAAACAACTTGATGGCACATAATCAATCTATGCACTTGCATGCTTAATTATACATTGATTCAACACAAATGATTAAGCAGTCTATATGTTTGTGCATATACACAAACTTAGGAACATTTTGCCATGTGATTTTGTGTACCTGTCTCCTGAAATGGTACAAATTGAGAAATCCTATCCTATACAGCTTTTCTTGGTAGGAAACCTATACTAAGAATAACTTGTAGAAATAGGGCAGGTTGGGATTTTCTCATTTCCAGCCATATTTCAATCCAGCTGTTTCCACTCTGTTAAAATAGGCACCACTGGTGTGAGAACTACTGTGAATATACTCAGGTGTATACATGCTCACGCACACAGATCAACAGCGGATTGACGAAGCAATGCAGCCTGTCCTAATATGAAACTCTGTGATCTAAATAATATGAAAATAATTGTTGTTAGTGACCCAACCATTGGGTAGATGTGATCTACCTATAATGCAACAGCAGAGTTAATAGCAACATAAGGTTATTTTTTTCACCTTATCAAACATTCAGAAGCAAGATGTTTATTACAAAAAAGAAACCAAACCAAGAATCCTACAGAAACAGAGTTCAAATAAAGAAAAGCTTTCATTAATGATTTAGATATTGATCTCCATATTTTAGGTCAACAGATTGACCTAAAATATCCCTTATTAATATTAAAGTTGGGGATCAAGGAACTATGTCCTTTTAGATTTTCTTACTCTATAAACTTCCTGCATCTCTTTTATATGTGTGTGTTACATAAGCTCAATTGTTGCCATTAGCCCTGTGCTTTTCCTTGGTTACCTCTGAAATTGCCACCCACTCCTGGTTGTCATGCCCAGTAATTGAACAACCTGAACAGCAGAGGAGATTCTGATGTTTGCTTGGCATGATAAATCCAACTAAATTTAAAAAACAGAATCACAAAAAAACCTGCATTCTCAGTTGGAATGAAACGTGATTATGTATTAAACAAGTTCACAAATGAGGGTGATGAGAATTAAAGTGACACTGAAATTTGATCAAATCCTGTTTAATTTTACAGAGGTAAATACAGTGATTTAGGGGATTAAACATTGTTCTAATAGATATAAAAGCATAATCTTTAACTAATCTTCTCAATTAATCTATTATGTAAAGCTCATGCATTCCCCCAAAATTGGCAAAGTGAATCTAAATCAGTTTCCTCAGAAGTAAGTAGAACTAGTGATGTTAAAACAGTACATAGAACCATGGAGTAAAAAGGTACTTCAGAAGTCACCTAGCCTGACCCTTTGCTTAATGCAAAATCTATTAAAGCACATCAGATGACAACACAGCCTCTGTTTGAAGATCTACAATGAGGGGAAAGAAACCATTTCATTAGGAAACCTGTTCCACCATTTGAAAACTTTTCCTGTTTTTTCCCCCATATCTAATCTAAATCTATTTTCTGAAGAGTCTACCCAGGGCTTTTAGTCCTACCCTACAGGACAACAGAAAACAGTTCATTCCCTACTCTGGATAACCTCCTTTTACAAACCTGATGATTATTGTACAGGCAGTACTCGACTTACAGCTATTCAGTGACCATTCAAAGAAATGGCACTGAAAAAAGTGATTTATGACCTTTCTCACACTTATGACCATTGTAGCATCTCCATGATCAAAATGTGGATACTTGGCAACTGGCTCATATTTATGACGGGTGCAATGTCTCAGGGTCATGTGATCACCTTTTGCAACCTTCAGACAAGAAAGTCAAGGGGAAGCCAGATTCATCTAACTTGTTACTAACTTAAGTGTAGTGATTTACTTAACAACTGTGTCAAGAAAGGTTGCAAAATGGGGCAAAATTCACTTAACTGTCTCACTTAATTTTTTTAAATTATGGTCCTAAGTCAATGACTACCTGTATACTTCCTCTCCCAAATGGGAGCATCAATATGTCTCTTAATACAGTTGCTAGAAAATAAAAGCAGAAGGATCTTCTTGTATTAAAGTTCTCAAAAGCATCTGGGCACTATTAAAATAAACTAGATAGGCCTTTGGTTTGAGCCAATTCAGCCCTTTTACATTCTTATGTACTGAAACCAATACATGCACCATGAAAAGCCAAGCTAAATTAAAACTTTACCACAACATCTACAGCATATCAAAAAACAAGTACACTTGGAAGCAGTGAGCTTGAAGAAGCATAATGTTTATATTATTTCCTAAGAAAATCAACATAGACAGGCAGGGAAAAAAAATAAAGAGGAAATGAAAGCATTAAAATTAAAATCTGATTTTTCATGTTAAAAGAAAGAGGATATAAATCCTGTTCCCATTAGTTAGAGCAGTATGAATTGGGACTATATGATGTTTCAAAAGAGGTGCTTTGCAACATATGAGAAACAGTAAGGCAGCCACGTCTTTTGCAAGTCTGCTGCAGCTTTCAACTATCTCCATATTTTTGCATATGCACAGCCATTTTGCTTCCCTGGGCAAAGATAGTCAGAAGCAGCCAATAAAGCAACCATATCAGCCAGGATAAAGATGTAGCTACTTTAATGATTCAAGCAAGCTTGCTTTACCTGCATACCCCCACATTGCAAATACCTAATTATGAAGGATTGGTACTGCCTTTCAATGTTCTTTTATAGAGATCAAGTCAATATTGTCACAATAATATATTTTGTTTATCAGTAGATTGACACTGTTGGATTTCAATTTAATTCAGCAGGACAGTTTTAAGGTGTCCTGGATTTAGAGGGGATCTGCATGCTCGATCCATTTTGAATTTACCTCATTTCTGAAAGGAAGGGACCAATTAAAATGGGGTAAATAGCAACAGCACTTAGTTTAGTTTAGTTTACTTTATTGTCATTGCACCTCGTACAATGAAATCAAACACCACTTAGACTTATATACCGCTTTACGGTGCTTTACAGACCTCTCTAAGCAGTTTACAGAGCCAGCCTATTGCCCCCAACAATTTGGGCCCTCATTTTACTGACCTCAGAAGGATGGAAGGCTGAGTCAAACTTGAGCCTGGTGAGATTCGATCTGCCAAATTGCAGGCAGGCAGCAATCAGCAGAAGTAGCCTGCAGTACAGCACTCTAACCACTGCACCAGGTCAGAATTTGGATCAAAATCATGGTGTGTGTGTGTGTGTGTGTGTGTGTCAAAGTTACTTTTATCTTGTTATCCTTTAAAAATGCCTGACTATGTTTGCAAGCCTCCTGCTGGACCATTAATTTTTCTTAACACTTCCTACTGCTTCCAAATAAGCAAGGGCACTTATAAAAAAAAAAGACAAAGGAGTCGGTCTTTTCCTGTCCCCCTTCCTCCATATCCTTGCCAAAAGGCAGAAAACAATTATGTCTCTTTCAGTGGGCTAAGTGCTTCCAATAAAGGCCAAGTCTCAAATTCTGCTGGGCATTAACCAAACTATAAACTGAGCCCTTAAGTGAGCTTCCCACAAAGTTACTAAGGCATTACATAAAACCAATCATAGTTATATATATTATTGGGTTCCTGATTGCTGGATGTGCATGCCTTTGAGTCAGTCTTGACTCTTGGTGACTGCCTAGAGAAATCTCTGCATTTTTCAGAAGTAGCTTGCTTGGCCTTCTTTCTATGGCTAAGAGAGAGTGACTGACTCAAAGCCACTCAGAAGTGCTGTAGGCAGGATTAGAACACACAGTCTCCCGGGTTTGAGCTCAATGCTTTAACCACCACAGTGCACCAAACTTACTGAAGCTCATCTGTTTATTGAATATATCAAAGTCAACCAATATGTTAATTTACATCTTAACAAACAAGCTATATTTGATTATAATTTATATATTTTTTAAAAAATGAGATAGCTGGATGCTTTATATATTTCAATCGGTATAGGGGATCTGATCTCAAGAAAAACCTTTCATGTTGAGGCTATTTTTTTTATTTGGAGGCCCATCTCAGTGTATTTGCCACCACATTATAGATGGTGAGAATAATAACGTAAGACTTTCTGTTGCTCTTAAACTGCTTAGAGAAGGCCATAAAGCACTATGAAGTGATATATAAATCTGAGTGCTACTGCTATTAAAGACTCTCTGTAGTGGTGGGATTCAAATAATTTAACAACCGGTTTGCTCAGGGTCGTTGGAGTCATGGCCCAACTTGACCCTGGGCGAACTGGTTGTTAAATTACTCCCCCTTCCCGCTATCAAAATGGATACTGGATGCTGAATTGCACTGCAACGGAGCAACGGGCAATGGAGCGGCCAACACGAGGGAAGGAGGAAGAGCAGGGAGAAGAAAGAGGGAAAGCAGCCTTCTCCTTCCCTTGCGCCAGATGCTCCTTTGCCCATTTCTCCAGAGCAGCACCCAGGATCCACACTGATAGCGGGGTGGGTGGGTAATTTAACAACTGGTTCACCTGAACTGGTGAGAACCGGCTGAATCCCACCACTGTCTCTGTCTTTATTAAAGCGCATCTTACTTCTCTAAGTGTACACTCTCTTTAGGCTCTTTAACAAAAACAAAAGCTTGCCAGGTTTTCACAAGCTACACAGCAACAGCACAAGTCTCAAGGGGGAAAGTAATGATATTAAATGTAGGTGGGTGGAAGGATTAGTTAAAGGAGGCATAATCAGTCTGGGAGCTGTGAAGGCACCATAGAATTTAACATGTTATGAAATAAAGAGTACACATGTACTATTATACACATTTTTTTACTTCGTAAAGATAAATTAAATGGCCATCCCTTCACATTTCTTAGCAAATCTAACCATCTCTATACAAGAAGTATAGAGCAGCTAGCTGTCTTTTCTCCAAGAAACTGAAGTGTTTGCAAATGGTGTAAGGAAAAAAAGCTAAATATTTACTGATTTGGTTCTTACCTCACAGTAAGCTACAAATTGCTTAACAATGAGCATAGATCAAAATTGGCTTCAACTCAGTGTAATAAGCTAGAACCATCATTTACAAACAAGTCATATCTAGGCTTAGTGCAATGTGTGAACCCAGCTACTGTGTACACTTAACAACGAAAGCTGATTCAAATATCAAAAGTGCTGACAAGATTTCTTCTGACTGTTGTTCTTGCAGGTGAGAATTTCTGGGTCATGTGGGTTCCATGCCAATTGCCTACTGTGTGATTACTTGCTGTTGCTTTAGCAACTAGAACTTCCTCTTCTGCTTTTTGAAATGAGTTTTTTTTTCTATACAAGAGATCATTCATAAGACAGGCCAAGGGAAAGCAATGACTCTGGCTGGGGCATTCTCTGAGTTGAAGTCCACACATCTTAAAAGTTTGAGAAACATTGCTCCAACATTTCACCTTGATAGGTTCTAAAGAAGAATATAGCATGAGCCGTGGTGGCGCAGTGGTTAGAATACAGTACACAGGCTACTTCTGCTGCCTGTTGGCTGCCTGCAATTTGGCAGTTCGAATCTCACCAGGCTCAAGGTTGACTCAGTCTTCCATCCTTCTGAGATCGGTAAAATGGGGACCCAGATTGTTGGGGGCAATATGCTGACTCTGTAAACAGCTTAGAGAGGGCTGTAAAGCACTGTGAAGTAGTGTATAAGTCTAAGTGCTATTGCTATTCTTTTTTTAAATCGCTTTCCACAGAAACATACTTCTAAGGTAGTCCAAATAATATAATAAAGTTATAGCAAATGGAATTGGTGCTAAGGCAGTTTTTGTATATTTTCCTTCATTGTAATAAAACTGCAACCCACCAGTTGCATAATTTCAACAATAGCTAAATTGTACAATGTGCCCTGACCGCCATATTTCATTCAATCTGGATACTGATCAGACAAGATTTTTTTTTTTATCTTTATCTTGTCATTATTTAACTATTGTGTGCTTTCTCTTTCTCTCCTCTCCCTATAGCCCACAACTCCATTTTGTGTCTATAAAGCACCTATTCTTGTCACCACTATGAAATTTAAAAAAACCTACACAAAGAAGAGATAATGAACAAGAACGTGAACAATATGCTTATAGACAATAGTGCCTTCTAGTTGTATTAATAGTACAATTTAACCATTCTTAGCCAGTTTGGTTACGATAGCTGGGGATTTTTCTAGTTTTAATATCCAGAGACCACCAGGATGGAAAAGCTGGATTGAACAATGTAGACAGGAACTGTGCTCAATTCTAGACTAAAATGGAAAAAGACAGATAAGGCTATATTGTTTCTAGGGGGTGTTCTTTAAAAAATTTGCATACTTTTTATATTATTTACGCTATTTTAGGAGTACCACGGATAAACGTATGCAATGCAAAAAGAAAACTCTCTTCAAGTTGAGATCTACTGTTGAACAAAATTACAGGCATGTAGTTTTCTTGCCAGTACTATGGAAGTGGTTAGCTACTGGCTTCTTCTGAGATTGTTTATTTTCTAGTGAAATTTACAATCCTGGAGATTTCCCATCTAAATAATAACTGGCAGCAACTCTGAGGTAAATCTAGTGCTGCCACCTGCTGAAGCATTAATGTAAGTACCAAATTAACTTTAATACTTCAACGAAGAATTATTTCACTAGCCCAATACCAAAAATCAACCCAGAGTTAACACTTCTTGCATTGTTGTTTTTTGATTCTGGCAACTTTCTAACAAGGATCAAGATGGATGATCCTTCAGCTATACAGTAAAACCAATTTTGCAACAAGAGTAGAATTTTCTTTTTATTGAGCTTTTATGAGCTGCGATGGTGCAGTGGTTAGAATGCAGTACTGCAGGCTACTTCTGCTGACTGCCAGCTGACTGCAATTTGGCAGTTCAAATCTCACCAGGCTCAGGGTTGACTCAGTCTTCCATCCTTCCAAGGTGGGTAAAATGAGGACCCAAATCGTGGGGGCAATATGCTTAGAGGGGGCTGTAAAAGCACCATAAAGCAATATATAAATCTAAATGCTATTGCTATTGTGGGAAATAGACTATGCCTACCAGAAGAAGATATTCCTCTACCTGTCTTATTTATGGATTTCATGTTTAAAAAATTAAAAATTGGAAAACTGCTACAGAGGTTTGGAGAAACACAGGATGCAGATTAAGTGGATCCATTTCAAAATGGGAAATTCTCTAAATTCTACTAGATAATCCTGATTAATACACAAACGGCTACTAAAAATAAAAGCTTAAGAGACCTGTTCTAGTTGGAAGCTTCTTGTGTGAACGAATGCCATGCAGCTCAAGTACAAAACAAAAAATCACTAAATAAGATACCCAGCACAATATGTACTATAGGTAGTCCTCGACTTACACTAAACCATTTATTTAGTGACCGTTTGAAGTAACAATAGTGCTGAGAAAAGTGACTCATGGCTGTTTATTATAACTATGACTGTTGCAGCATCCTCATGTTCACCTGATCAAAATTCAGATGCTTGGCAACTGGCATGTATTTATGATGGTTGCAGTGTGTCCGGGTCATGTGATCACCTATTGCAAGCTTCTGACAAGGAAAATGAATGGGGAAGCCAGATTCACTTAACAACTGTATTAACCTAATAACCATAGTGACTTACTTAACAACTCTAGGAAGAAAGGTCATAAAATGGGACATAACTCACTTAAATGTCTCAGAAATTTTGGGCTCAATTGTAGTCATAAGTTGAGGACTACCCATACTGATATAAAATACATGCATGCCGGTCTCATAACAAATCCTTCAGATGCTTTCTGAATATAAGTAGTCCTCGACATACAACCACAATTGAGCCCAAAATTTTTGTTGCTAAGTGAAACATTTGCTAAGGGAATCTTGCCCATTTTACCACCTTTCTTGCCAAAGATCTTAAGTGAACCACTGTAGTTGTTAAATTAGTAACGCTGTTGTTAAGTGAATCTGGCTTCCACATTGACTTCGCTTGTCAGAAGGTTGCAAAAGGTGATCACATGACCTCAGGACACTGCAACGGTCATAAATGTGAGTCAGTTGCATAGCGTCTGAGTTTTGATCAGCTGACCTTGAAGACGATGCAGCGGTTGTGTGAAAAACAGTCATAAGTTACTTTTCTCAGTGTCACTGTAACTTTGAACGGTCAGTAAATGAACTTTTGTAAGTCGACGGCTACCTGCATTAACCTTTTTTAAAAAAAACTAGTGAAAAGATCTTCGTAAGCATTTCAAGCCCATCTACAATAAAGAAGTACATTCACACATAATAACTGGCTGCGACTTACTTGGCTTGGCGTTGGTAACCATCATCTCAGAAGTTGGCTGCAAAGGGAATCTGCAGTTCTCACCTTGGCCATCATTACTGCCATACTCTATGACGTCGACATGCCCAAGTGGCACGCTCCATTTTAATAAGTACCTTTGGCCACTCACGACACCACTACTTTCATGGGAAGAGCTGAAAATAAGGCCACAACAATGATGACAAGAGGTCATTTTTTTCCATGTATTTTCAAGCTTTTTTTTTATCTTCTCATACACAAATCTCCCTGGTGTATAACGTTTTGCTCTAATTCTACAAGTACTTCCCAAAGAAAAAGCCCCACTGAGCCAAACTGGATACTACCTTATTTTGTTTTTTGGCATTAACAAAAACCACAAGGTAAATTGCAGATGTCATGAAAAATTTTCTCATTTTTAAAACCAAAGTAAACTTCCTGTAAATGTTTTACTACATTACTTGTTTGTTAATGAGCAAAAATTTTCAGAAAAAATATTTGGGGATTTATTTCTAAAATGAAGTACAAAATGTTATCATCATAAAGGAAAAGGCCACATTTAGTTCCCATTGTTCCACAGGACACTGCATTTTGAGGAAACACATTGATCTTGAACACAGATGGGCTATGGAAAGCATAAAAACATCAATATACGTGTGTGTAATATTCCCAGATCACACAAAGCATGCAAGGAAGTGAGAGGAGAGTGTTAATTGAGTGGGTTAAAAACAGAAGCAGAAAAATATTCCCAAAATCCAAGAGAGGCAAACAGCAAAAGGAGAACTGGACTCCTGATGATAATTAATAATATGACAAATAATGACTCATGTTTTTCATAACAGACTTTTAAAAAACATATTTATTTTCATTTATCACCAAAAATAAAACAGAAAATAGAAAAACAAACATCCAATAATACTAACAGTGGAAAAAAAGAAAAATAGGAATAGCACTTAAGACTTATATACTGCTTCATGGTGCTTTACAGCCCTCTCTAAGCAGTTTACAGAGTCAGCCTATTGCCCCTAACAATCTAGGTCCTCATTTAACTGACCTCGGAAGGATGGAAGGCTGAGTCAACCTTGAGCCAGTTAGGATCAAACTCCTGGCTGTGGGAATGCAGACTTAGCCTGCAATTCCGCAGAAAATTGTGTGCACAAGAAAACCCTCAAACCCCAAATGTCTACTCTAATATTGGACATAAAGAATCCACGCCGGGTGGATGCTGAAAAACAGATAAAGAAAGGAACTATTCCGGAGAAATTTTACCCTGGCAAGGCCTGTTTACTTGAAGACAGTGGAACCAAAGCACATATTCAGTTGCCATAGGAATGCTGCTGGATAAGAGCTTCTGTGTAGCAAGAGACCGACTCAGCCTACATTTGCAGATATATCCCACCCACATAATTATATTAGAGACTATGAAATTTAGAACAAGGCATTTCACAGGAGGGATGCAAAATGCAGCAGATATGTAGGACTGTTATAGGAGCCTGTCTGTAGGGAGAGCTCTTTCAAACCTACTATGGATACTGAGGGTCGGTAGTATTACAGCAGGCAATGATTTTATCAGAGAGATATTTCATTTAGGCATTTAAGCAAAATGAGAAACAGCAACCCCTGTATTTACATGCATTATATGTGACAATTTCAACCCCAAACTGTGGATTTTTAAACTTGTGCTTTTCTTGTAATTGGCATAGATGAGAGGCCTCCATACTCTTCAGTTCATCCATCCCTTCATAATGTTTCAGACTGTTCATCAACTCCCAAGCATTTATTGTATGAAGATAATTTCATACTACTTTAATTAATTGTGTGATGAATAACAATAATGATAACAACAACCGTCTTCTCCTGGTTACATCTACTTAACCTACCAGAGAGGGGAAGCAAGGAATGTGGCGGGTCCTCTCTCCTAAGGAGGCACATCTACTGGGACCAAGAAGAGGAGCCTTCTCTGGGTTGGCTCCCTTCCTATGGAACATAATCTCCATAGAAATAAGACTGCCCCCCACCCTTGACACTCTTTCACAAGGTCCTAAAGGCTTGGTTTTGCCCAGAGTAGGATGGAGCCCATTAAGTGGCTTATTTAATTAACTGTTATCACCAAGGGGTGGGGGTTATTGCTTTTTATTCTTTTATATTAGGTTTTTATCTTTGTGAGCCACCTGGTGTCACTGACAATATGTCAATTTTTCTTAAATAAAATAAAAAGAAACCGACTTTTTGGATAGTCCTATCTATCTATCCTTGTGGTTCGATACTGACCACTTTAGGAGACTATGGCATAGACCTTATTTCTATAATATTACTTCTATGAAAACAATAGCAATAGCGTTTAGACTTACATACCACTCCATAGTGCTCCACAGCACTCTGAGCGGTTTACAGTGTCAGCCTATTGCCTCCAACAATGGGTCCTCATTTTACCGACCTCAAAAGGATGGAAAGCTGAGTCAACGTTCAGCTGGTTTGAACTGAACTCCAGAATATGGGCAGAAGTCAGCTTGCAATTGTAACCAATTTGTCACCACAGCTCATTTTAATACTTTAAATAAAGTGGCATTTCTACCTGTGAGGATTTTGAGTGCAAAACAAATAGTTGAAAAATAAAGGATGTGATCTAACAGGTTTTTTGTTTTTCCTTTTGTTCTTTTACTTCCTTCCTTACAAGCATACATTGTGCATTTTCCTTCTTGAAGAAAAATGAAGGGGGAGAAGTCTATAAAGGTGCACACATATTGCAACAGTGCAAAAAGTAGCAAGCTGACCTGCAAAATATTTGATTGACATTAATCTCACAATTCTAGAGTTGGAAGAGTTTACTGTTTACAAAAAGACTTTTAAATGAAAAGGCTTTAGTTAAAAGACTAGATACAAACACTTTTGCTTTTTGGAGATAACAGTTTTTAATAAGTATAGCATCAATCTCCTCTAAATCTGGATATTCCAGATTATTTTCTACAAAATTTTGCCAGCAATAAATACTGGAACACTGTACGATGAAATGTTGGCTCTTATCTCATCCGGGCCTTCTAATCCTACATGACCGATGAATTTCATTTCTGTGCACAACTGGGAATTTGGCATTTTTCCTTACTTTTCCTGAAGTTAAGAAATTAATAAAAAGCTTCTAGTTCTTAATTTATCTCTAACGCATCTCACGGTCTCTATAACAGTTTTATTTAATCAGGACCCATCCCATTCTGACCATTATACCATCTCCTTTAACAATGTTATTCAATTTCCTAGTATGCTGAGTATTTGTTGACTAGGAAATGTAATGATGGGGAGGAGAGAAGTGGGTTGCAGTAACAATATAATTTGGGGGGGGGGGGAAGGAAGTCTAATTCAACCTAAATTACCTTAATACCACTAGGCAGAGAAGCAGGGGGTGTTAAGCATCCCCTCCCTTAAGGAAGTCTATCTACTGGAAAGGGCTTCTCTGAGGTGGCTCCCTCCACGTGGAACATCATCCCTGCAGAAATAAGGAGGCCCTTACTTTGACACTCTTTCAAAAGGTTTTGTAGACATGGTACTGCCAGCAGGCCTGGCAACCTCAGGGTCATGTGGAGCCCATCAATTGATTGGTTTTATTGTTGCCACCAGGAGAGGAGGATGAGGGTTTATTGGTTTTTGTATTGGGATTCGATTTCTGTAAGTTGTCTGAAGTTACTGTGGGTTGGGCAGCCATACAAGAAATATTTATTCTTAAGAAATAAAGTATCTTCATTCCTTCCAATCCTTGTTTCCATGAGGTCCATGCACCCCTTTATATAACATTTTTGTTCCTTCGATTTAAAATCCTTATTTGGGGAAGGAGTGGAGAGAGCTAAGTTGCAACTTTTCAATCTTTGATCTCAATATTTATTTATTAGATTTGTGTGCCATCCATCTCATCCAGATATCCTACATATATTGCGTATATATCCTACACTGCAGCTTTGCCCAAAGCCAGAGATGAACATGGGATTTTCTGTGCACAATACAATGTGCTCTGCCACTAAGTAAGAGCCCTGAATTATAATCCATTGTATACATGCAACCGATAACCACGTAAAATGGACTCAGAACAACAAAAACAAAAAATTCCTAGTTCATGTGTCTTATCTCTTATGCTTTAGCAATTATTTTATAGCGCGTGACTAGAATCTTACCGAATATGCACAGTAGCACACATGAGAACATCATTTAACATAAACAGACGCCGTTCTTTGGTTTTCATGATCTCTCCTTTGTCTGTATAAACAGTTTCTAGCATATCATCACTTCGGATCAGGTACCGGTTGCTACTGCTAAGTAACTGAATAATACAAAAATATTTAATAACATATATAGTATTTTTACACCTGAACATATTCTGCGTTAAAAATATATGAACCAGTTTCATGAGTCTATAGAATTTTGTTAATTCTGTCATGTAATAAAATTCTTTCTTTACAATTTTGTATCTATAGCATCATGATAATCAGGTATCAATCAATCAATCAATCCTTCAATTTCAAATCAGGGATCAACATAAAATACAATCAAGGAAAAAATATTCACCCATTTCAGTAATAATTCTGACACTTTTAAGAGATAAAAGTTAAGTAAAAGCCTGATTGCTAACATCATACTACAATATTTAAAGTGTAAAAATCTGTCTAGATAAATTCTTAACGTTAAGAGTAAACTACAGACTAATAAAGGGGGGGGGGTGTATCTGAAGGTCCACAAAAAAGATGTAAAAACAGATGAATATTTTAAAAACAGGAATTCTCAGTAGGTTTACCCATACCCTTTACTGTTAATTATTTGTATGAAAATTTTAATTGCCATCAGGCAAAATCAGGCAACATTGTATATAATCAATGGTTCCTTATCTGAGAAGATAAAATCAAGAAGAAAACTTTCATCATGACCTATAACAGTAAAGAAAGAATTAAAGTTTCTCAACTATATATATATAATGGGGGCAGTATAAAAGATGTGGTGATCTCAATAGCCTTTGTGCTCCAGGAAAAATTAATATAAATATGGGGGCTCTAATTAATCCAGCTCTCTTGAGGGAATCCTATTCTCTGGTGCAGATATGGTGACAGAGAAGGCATAAGTCCTTTGGTCCCACTGAATGACAGTGAATAATAGAGAAACCTGGAGCATTTTGATTTATATACTGCTTCATAGTTCTTTACAGCACTCTAAATGGTTTATAGAGTCAGCATTATTGATCTGGGAAAGATAGACAGATGAGTCAATCTTGAGCAGGTCAGGATCAAACTCCTAGCAGTGGGCAGAGTTTTGCCTGCAGCACTGCCCTTTAACCATTGACCCACCATGGCTCTTAAACCTCCCATTAAGAACTGAGGAGGGTCAAACAGCAAACCTGGCTTTGTTCCTATGTAGGGAAGGTTAATGTATACAACTATCTGCCTAGTTCTCGCCTAGAATAAATTACGTGAGCTCCTTTATGGGCTGGAATGTGAGTGACCTAAATTCTTTTAGCCTGAGTGTATCCCAAAAGAAACTATCGCTCAAGTGGCAAGCCATAAGGCTGTCTAGAATTGTTTGTTGCCGAAAAAATTGTAATTGGTCAATCAGGACTAATGGGATGACTTCTGATGGGAAAAAAACTGGCATAGAGTTTACTCTCTTCATTCAATAAATTGCTTATGATTCAGAAAAACATTAAGTTAATAATGGTGTAAGGATGCTTAGAGCCTTGCACATTTATCCAATGAGTAAAGCCACTCCTGTACCTTCATCACACATGCTCCTATTTTGGCTTTTTCCTTTTTCCCACTTGGGATAGAAAACCAAATTCAGTACTATCCACATGGCGGCAATTAATGTCTATGAAACAAATGGAATGTATTTGTATAAAATACATATTGGGAATGGTACACGACAAACTACTCCTAAAAATAAAATCCTATGGTATCTCTGGACAACTGAATAACTGGATAGAAGCATTCCTGGCAAACAGACAACAAATGGTCAAAATTGGGAGCGTCCTATCAAATTCTGTACCTGTCAATAGTGGTGTCCCCCAAGGCAGTGTTCTAGGACCAACTCTCTTCATACTCTACATAAATGACCTCTGTGATCATATTAAGAGCAATTGCGTTCTTTTCGCTGATGATGTAAAGCTGTTCAATACCACAGACAATACTGCTACCCTACAAAAAGATCTTGACTATGTATCAGAATGGTCAAACAAATGGCAACTTCAAATCTCAACAGATAAATGCTCTGTCTTACATATTGGCAAAAAAAATCAGAAAATAAAATACAAGCTGAATAGTCAAGATCTTGTTGATGACCCAAGCTCTGTAAAGGACCTTGGAATACTCACCTCTAATGATCTAAGTGCTAGAGCCCACTGCAACTACATAGCCAAAAAGGCATTAAGAGTTGTTAACCTAATCCTACGTAGCTTTTTCTCTGGTAATATCACACTAACCAGAGCATACAAAACATTTGCTAGACCAATACTCGAATACAGTTCATCAGTCTGGAACCCACATTACGTATCTGATATTAGCACAATTGAGAAAGTCCAGAAATATTTCACAAGAAGAGTTCTCCACTCCTCTACTCGTTGTAGAATACCTTATGCCACCAGACTTGAAATTCTAGAACTAGAAAACCTTGAATTACGCCGTCTTCGGTCTGATTTAAGCATGGTATATAAAATCATACATTGCAATGTCCTACCTGTCAATGAATACTTCAGCTTCAACCATAACAACACAAGAGCACACAATAGATACAAACTCAAAGTTAACCGCACCAAACTTGATTGCAGGAAATACGACTTCAGCAATAGAGTGGTCAATGTCTGGAATACTCTACCCGACTCTGTAGTTTCTTCCCCAAACCCCAAAAACTTTAACCTTAGACTGTCTACTATTGACCTCACCCCTTTCCTAAGAGGTCTGTAGGGGGCGTGCATAAGCGCACCAACGTGCCTACCGTCCCTGTCCTATTGTTTCTCTTATTCTTCTTTTATTTTTCTTATATGTACCCATTTCATGTATTCACAACTATGTATACACTTATACTTATTATCTTGTAAACAATTGGCAAATCAAATAAATAAATAAATAAATAAATAAATAAATAAATAAATAGTTAAGAAAGCCTAAACATTTTAGAATCCATCAAAACTGGCAGAGTTGCCATGCTCCAGGTTTCTCTATTATTCACTGTCATTCAGTGGGACCAAAGGACTTACGCCTTCTCTGTCACCGTATCTGCACCAGAGAATAGGATTCCCTCAAGAGAGCTGGATGGCTTTGATCCTATTAGCCTTCCACAAGACATTAAAGACCAGGATGCTTGCACAGTCATTTGGGACCAAAGGTGGGCCGGGCCCCTTTGTTTGATTGTTTTGCTTACTGACTGGAGGGGAATGGATTTTCAACCCAGCATGTGTCACCATATGGTTTGTATATTGACTTCATAAGTTGTTTTGGGTTTCAATCTTTGCACATTGTCCAGAGTCCCCTTTGTGAGCTATGCAGTTGTACACATTTTTCAAATAAACAAGCATTCTTTACAAGAGAAATAAGGGGAAAACAAGCAGTGCAATTCTCCAAACCTTGTTCAGGTAACGCTCATTCATGGCTTTGGCTATTTGTTTTATTTCACAGCGCTGATCTGCATCCCTTTTCCTTTCATTTAATTTCTCTGCCAGTGTTTCAAGTTCTGTGAGAGCCATCTGCAGAGGCAGTCTGTCTGGGTGGCCTTTAGTCGTGTTCTTCAACATATCCTGGACAGAACAAAGGGGAGGGAAAAGTTTTGCCATGCTCTGACCCAGCTAATTCAGATTATTTTTCTTGACTACAAAAAGGAAGTAATTTAAACATATCTGTCTCATAGCTACCATTTCCAAAGCTACAGATACAATCCTTTTTAGGGTTTGTCTGCTATGTCAAGTGAGAAATGCTTACCTAATTTTAGAAAGCACCATACTATCTATCCAGTTATAAACTCTTTGGGCAATTGTTTCCAACATCAAACTGCTCGTACGAAATTAAAAAAAATTCTTATGGTCATATGAAATTTGCCCTCTTGTAACTTAATGTCATTATTCCAAAGCAATGAGAAAGAACAAGTCTTCATATTCTTTTGCATAGGTAGTCCTCGACTTACAACCTTTCATTTAGTGACTATTCAAAGTCAAACAGCACTAAAAACAGCACTAAAAACAGTGACTTATGACTGTTTTTCACCCTTTTGACTGTTGCAGCGCCCCCATGGTCACATGATCAAAATTTGGACGCTTGGCAACTGGCATGTATTTCTGATGGTTGTAGTGTCCTGGGGTCATGTGATCCCCTTTTGTGACCTTCTGACAGGGCAAAGTCAATGGGGAAACTAGATTCACTTAACAGCCATGTTACTAACTTAGCAACTCCAGTGATTCACTTAACAATTGTAGCAAGAAAATGGGGCAAAACTCACTTAACAACTGTCTTCCTTAGCTACAGAAATTTTGGGCTCAATTGTAGTAATAGGTCGAGGACTACTTGTATGACATTCTTTCAAGTCATTTGAAGAATATGATATCTTTCCCCACAAGCTTTAAAATATCTAGCTAATAAAGGAAAATATTTGTAGCTCAGGAGTGAAATGAGGGGTCTTTGGTGCTCTGTGAGTTTGGTTGTTTTCTTGCAGATGTTTCATTCCCCAAACTAGGTAACATCATCAATTCTCTGATGATTTTATCTAGTTTGGGTAATGGAACATCTGCAAGAAAACAACCACGCTCAGGGAGCACTAAGGACCCCTCAGATATCTAGTTCTTTGAATCTTTCTTTGAAAGATTTAGTTTCCCAATTACTTTTTTCCTCATTACTTTTTTCTGACCAAACAAGCATAAATGTTTCCCATAATTTGAAATTAACCAAGGTTGATGCAGCCTAATGCCCCGTTTGCCTTTTTTGCAGCCACATTACACTGCTGGCTTACATATATTCACTTAATTATCATGTCAACCACGCCTAATTAGCTTGATGATCAACATGTTATGGAAGACTGTGTAAAATGATTCATTGCCATCAAAGTACATTATGTTTACAACAGTCCATTAAGGAATTGCCCAGTCAAATCACAAGAAAAGAATAGTCTGACAAGCTTTAATCTTGGCAAATCCATTCCATATTCATTTCAAGAAGCTAGCAAATTCATCTGTTTATTATCTGATTTAGGATCTTCCCAAGTACTAGCATCAGATCCTTTTCCCCCTTCATTTTGGAATGACATGGACAAAATTTGCCATTGTCCCATAGTTTGACATTTCATCAGTTATATAATGTTTTTCAAAGATAATATCTATTGGTTTGGCCAGACAAACCAACTAATTCACTCAATCATTGAAGTCCTTCATTACCAAAGAATGCACTCTTAACTAGTTTTGCAGTTTTAAACTCATTTGTAACATATTTGTTGACCACATTTCTATTATTCTAAGAATTTAATTCTGCACCTTCAATCTGCCCTTCACAATTTCCTGATGAGACATATGGGAGACTAAAATAAAATAGTTCAGGTTTTTTTTCTTTTAAACATGATTAAGAAGCCTTATGTTTTGTATCGTTTGCTAACCTCAGCCCACTCTTCCCTCATACCAGCTCCAAAATATAGATCCATGTTCTCTCCTTGTGACCTGATCTTATTTCCATTCCTTGTGTCCTACTTTGTTTTCAGATCTTCATTAAGCTTCTTGGATTGTCTATTGCTATTCTTGGGGATTTTTCCTTCTCATTGGAAATGATTGTAATTATGCTTCTAGTGTCTGATTTTTTAAAAGATATCCCCACCCTTATTGAATTCATTTTTGTGGACTTCTCTTTCCATAGCATCCTACTCTTCTCTTTTCTGACAACATGAAAATCTGCTGTCATGCAACTTCCATTTCTACAACTGATTTTTTCATCATCTGCAAAGCTGGCACTTTGGTGTAACAGCTAAGAAAAGAAAAAATTTAGGGCTCCTTTAATAATAACAGTAATCAACTTAGTGCAAGTAATCTTCATAGTTACACTAGAGATATGCTTCATCAATAGGATGTCATTCCAGGGGCCAGAAAAAGTAGAAAAGGACTGAGCTTTTATATTCTTTGCTCAACAGAGTCTGACATTGGTTTAATCTGGCAAGTACTCATTAGGGTATTGTAATTTAATGTGACCAGTATAAATATGTAACTATCTGTATTTCCACTGCTTGCATTGTAGCTACTGGATCAGGAGTGTAAGAACATTTGAGAAAAGCATTCCATTATTCTTTTCTTACAATTTTCAAAAATAACTATAATTTTCATGCAGTTGACAACAGGGCATAGTATCATTTCTTGACATACGATTTGGCAGGTTAATTGATTTTTTTTATAGCATTCAATTGCATTAATATCATTTAACTAGAATCATACAACAGCTGAATATAATAATTATAGATTATTGGGGTCCCCAGAGGGATGATCACTGCTGGAGGTAGCTGATGAGGTAAGAAGACCTCATCCTCGTCTAATCCATCTCTTAGTTCTGGTTTCAGTATAGTTTTAAAATCTGAACCTGTGTAGTTTTAATGTTGTAATTATTTTTATATTTGATTTATAAGTTGTAAGCTGCCAGAGTCACCTTATGGGGAGATGGGCAGCATAAAAAATTAATGAAGGAATAAATATATGAAGGAATGAAGGAATATGCCTAACATTAAAAATTAAAATTAATTTTTTTAAAGCTTTCTAAAGCTGTTTAAAATAATCTACAGTTGAAGCCTCCTACCTGCCAAGAAAATAATTCTATGGCTTAGGCCTTAATATCATAAAGCTCTAGTTCCTGCACATTCCACCCAATGGCAAAAAACAATTGAAGGTTGCCTTGATTCATAAAAACTTTTATATACGGTTAATAGAACTTTGAAGTAATTTTTGAACTATTATGCACGATGGGGCAAAAGAAAAGAAGCAGCAATCAACCTGCTGTATTCTTTATTGCCTGAAGTTACTAAAAACTTACTGGAAAGTTAACATAAATTGAGGTAGTTTAATATGATGGCTGGCACATACATGACATAGCACTTAGCAATAGCACTTAGGTTTATATACCGCTTTACAGTGCTTTACTGTACTCTCTCTGTGTACAGTGCTTCACTTACTCTCTAAGTGGTTTACACAGTCAACATATGGGTCCCAACAATCATTTTATCTACCTCGGAAAGATAGAAGGCTGAGTTAACCTTAAGCCGGTGAGACTCGAACTGCCAAACTGCTGGCAGCCGGTGATCAGCAGAAGTAGCCTGCAGTATTGCATTCTAACCATTGCACTACCGCAGTTCAGCGACATGATGAGATTAGTGTGTGGAAGAGCAGAGTAGACCTAATAGAATTGCTTCAGCTGACTGAATCAACTCTGGACTCTTATCTACAATGATATGGTAAGGGACTAAAATAAAACTCGGCTCTCAAGCTTTGGACAGAATCCTACCCTTGCTTCCTAAGAAATGACAAGTTACTTGCATCCATTTTCTCAAAATGTTTCCCCCTATTTAACACCAGAGTGATCAGTGTTGAGCGTAAGGGAGCTCATAGTCTTCTAAGTGTAAATGTCAGTTAGTGGACTCTTGTGGGACAAAGGGAGGCCTAGGAGCTAAAAATTAGATGCTCATCATTATTTACAGAGTCTGCTCCTACAAACAGGATTGGAACTATATAAAAGCTTGGCCATCTAGCCAAACTAGAATCCAAACAAGCCTCCTCAGAAATAACCCTTGATGAACAGTATCAAAATTGGCCAACAGATCTGACAAGAACAGAATGGCCCATCATTGACAACAGAGAGAACTGTCTTTATACTGTATCCCTATCCTAAACTCAAAAGTGATATTGATTTTAAAGAAATCCTAAAGTTCCTTTCAATGTTTTATAAGAACACTTGCAAATACATAATATCCAGGAAATTCATGGCTAAGAAGTTGTGAGTGTCATATACAAAGAACAACATGGGTGACTCTAAAACCAAGCAATCCTATGAACTAAAGGATACATTCTGTACTTTCAGGTACAACTCAGAAATTAGTCCCAGAATTGATTTTCAATGACAAAACAACTAACACTCAGATCCTATTACCATGTTAGTGTTAGCCATTATTATTTAGCAAATAACCAAGGAAGATGGCTAACTCAAGCAATTTTAAGAATTGATACATGACTTGCCTGTAACAGAAGGATGAATTGAGGAAAACGTTGTATGGGCTTCATCATTAAGCCATAAAGAGTGATTCTATCAGGACCAGATTCTTGACATTGCTGTAATAAAAAAGGGTTTTTAAAATATTAGCCAGAGATTTTCTCGAGAGATGCACAGATAAAATGTATGCCTCATATTTTGGCCACTTAATGAGAAGAGAGGACTCATTGGAAAAGACTTTGAAGTTAGGAAAGACTGAAGGCAAAAGGAGAAGGGGACAGCAGAGGATGAGATAGTTAGATAGTGTCGTTGATGCAACATTAATTGGGCAAACTTCGGGAGACAGTGGAGGACAGGTGACCTGGTGTGTATAGTCCATGGGATTGCGAAGAGTCTGACATGACTTAGTGACTGAACAACAACAACTGTATAAACATATACACATGTTCATGAATAATTTTAAGGCTGAGCTAAACACTGGATGCTCAATATTTGTCAAATGATCAATCTCCCAGATAGTCATGGTTACTCTAACAGTCTACAATCACAAAGCAACCAAAATCCAAAATGCTCACCTTTAAAAACTCAAGGAAGGCAGGTTTTGTAGCACATGTTTTTTTGAGAATCCCCACAGCTGTGCTAAAATTGATTACATACTCACTGTAGGCATCTAGTACCATGGATTTAGAGAACTAAATGACACAATAAAATAAATGCACATTATTAGTTAGTTACAATATAGAACACATATTGAGTATTCAATATACTCAGTATATAATCAAAACCTGTAACTTTTATTTAAAAACATTTGCCACTTTTTAAGGATCTCCACAAAAGACTAAGGTTTTACCAAGAAATCTCAGACATGCTATTTCCATAAAATAATATTGTTTTGGCATTTGCCTTTAAGATTGTATCTCATAATTTCAATGTCACTTATACTATGATACTGCGTACAATGTCACTTATACTATGATATACCCTGGATAGAATATGACAGCAATAAATTTATTTTATTTATTTTTATTTATTTATCAAGCATGTATTAGATAACAGATAAAATTAAAACATGATTATGATTACATGAAATGGGTATGAATAAAAGGGGACATTAGGACAGATGGTAGGCACGTTGGTGGGCTTATGTACGCCCCTTACAGACCTCTTAGGAATGGGGTGAGCTAAACAGTAGACAGTCTTAAGGTTAAAGTTTTGGGGGTTTGGGAAAGAAACCAGAGTCAGGTAGTGCATTCCAGACATTGACAACTCTGTTGCTGAAGTCGTATTTTCTGCAATAGAGTTTGGAGTGTTTTCCCTTAAGTTTGTATCTATTGTGTGCTCATGTATTGTTGTGAGGTTGAAGCTGAAGTAGTCATTGACAGGTAGGACATTATAGCAGATAATTTTATGTACTACACTTAGGTCAGACTGAAGGCAGTGTAATTCTAAATTGTTTAAGCCTAAAAAATCCAAGTCCGGTGGTATAAGGTATTCTTTTGTGAGCAGAAAAGTAGAGGACTCTTCTTGTAAAATATCTCTGGACTCTCTCAATTGTATTAATGTCTGATGTGCAGTGCGGGTTCCAGACAGATGAGCTGTAATCGAGAATTGGTCTAGCAAATGGTTTGTATGCTCTAGTTAGCAGTACAATATTACCAGAGAAAAAGCCACACAAGATTAGGTTAACAACTCTTAATCTTTTTTTAGCAATTTGTTACAGTGGGCTCTGGCACTTAGATCATTAGAGATGAGTACTCCAAGGTCCTTGACAGAGTGAGGGTTGTCTACAAGTTGTGTCCATCCAGCTTGTATTTTATGTTCTGATTTTTTTTAATCAATCAAGAAATGTTTGATTAAATCCTGTATCATTTAAGCGAGCCCATCCATTTGATGAAGTGAGCCGCAGTTCATAAAGCCTATAATAGAATATGTTAGTCTGAAAATATGATACAATAGGTCTGGGAAATCTAATTCTGAAACTTGTTTTATACCGCTGTCACTTTTAACTACAATACTTGGGTAGGAAATGAAAAGGAAGAAATCTTGGAATTGTCAACTAGATTGGGAAGTTCAAACAACTCATCAGAAGGCAGCAAGAGGTGAATTACTTCGATATCCTTGCCAGGAAAACAAGATGGATGTGGAGGCTTTAGTTTTAGGATTTGCAATACTTGAATGATATGCAGTTAAGATTAAAATAAAAATAAAAATGAGAAGCCCAACTTTCTGAACCAATTAGCAATGGGAAAAGATTTTCAAAAGTATGTCTGATATTAGAGTGAGATGGCTTCTGAGTTTATTTACCTTTCATTTGAAATTGTTTTCTACATTATCAAAGACTTAATAACCAGAAAGGTTTAAAAATGTAGCTTCTGTTAAGATCTTAAATTTGAATGCTTCTTGTTGCTAGGAAACTATTAGCACAAATTCCAAACTAAATCCGTTTAAAAATAGGTTCAATAAAAGAATAAATGCATTATTTCACTGTAGGGATTTTATGGTACCCTAAATACTGCAAGTATACACTTAAAACACTTAGTTAAGTTTAAACTCTCCCAAACCAAGTGATAGTGATAGCAACTGGGGATGACATTAAGATATTTAAATTCAGCAGCTGGAGCAGTGAGGTTGTGCAGTGAGCCAGAACACACAGTTGTGATTGATTGTTACCAGACTGCTGACTCCTGAAGAGGCAATCTGCACTGTGATTGGTTATTCTGGGTGTGGAGGAGGAGTTTCCCTCCCCCCCCGCTGCCTTTTTCTTTTTTGTGCCCTGTACACTCTGTAATTTACCTCACGATGCTCTTGTTTGGTGCTCATATCGATGTAAAATATATTTATTTATATAAAACTACAAGTTCATGTCAAGCGTCTCTGGGTTCATTTGGACACCTGCTGCATAATTCCCTGACAGACATTAACTTGATTTTCTTCACAGTATTTATAATTTATCCCAGTGCCAAAGGAAGATAAAATTAAAACCAAAATGGGAATACAATAAGTAAAATGTTGCCACCACTTGTCTTTAGGAGCCCAAAGAAATTTGATCTGACCTTGGGACAAAGGTTTTTGTTGTTCTTTGGAATTTCACTTGTTCAGCCCATTTATGAATTAAACAGACTTAAGTGACCCCAAAGCTATGATCATTCACGTACTGAAGCAACAAAGACATCCCCTATCATTTCGACAGAATCCCACTCCGAGACACGGCTTGCCAGGGCCATCTGAAACATTGAATGGCACTGAAGAATTTCTTTAATTCGATAGAAGACCATCTTCAGTTTCCTCTCACTCAGTAATTTGGGCTCCATCTCTGAAAGAGGTTTTTCATATTGCTAAAATTTAAAACAAAAACATCAAGTAATTATCAAAAGCTGCTGATACAGTTCTACAGAGAAATTATTGAGTTTATCATCTGCACCTCTATAACTGTCTGGTTTGGTTCTGCAATCCAACAGGACAGATACAGACTTCAGAAGATAATCAGGACTGCAGAAAAAACAATTACTACCCACCTGCCTTCAATTGAGGACCTGTATACTACACGAGTCAAAAAGAGGGCTGTGAAAATATTTACAGACCCCTCACATCCTGGACATAAACTGTTTCAACTCCTTTCCTCAAAATGACACTATGGAGCACTGCACACCAGAACAACTAGACACAAAAACAGTTTTTTCCCGAAAGCCATCACTCTGCTAAACAAATAATTCCCTCAACACTGTTCAACTGTTTACAAAGTGTACACTACTATTACTGTTAATCTTCTCACCACTCATTATCCATCTCCTCCTACTTGAATGTTTCCTAGCATGATTTGATTGTTGATTGTACCCTATGACTATCATTAAGTGTTGTACGTTATGATTCTTGATTCTTAACGAATGTATCTTTTCTTTTATGTACACTGAGAGCATTTGCACCAAGACAAATACCTTGTGTGTCCAATCACACTTGGCCAATAAAATATTCTATTCTATTCTGTTCTGTTCTGTTCTGTTCTGTTCTATTCTATTCTATTCTATCCTATCCTATCCTATTCCATTCTCAAATGAATTATCTTCACAACTGTAAATGAAAACATCAGCAATAATGAATTACATAAATGAGATTCATTCATCCCCGTATTTATTTGGCTTCAAAATGACAATTACTTACCTCTAATATTCTTTTCAGGGCATCTACATAGTTTTTCTCACTGTCAACCACAGCGCCTAAAATGTACCTTCGCACAACCTGTTAAAATATAATATTAAATATGGCACAATCATACACTTAATTTGCCATTCGAGGACACCTCTGCACAAACATTAACTTTATTCTCCCTTAAATAATCTTTGTCACCTCTGTCTGATAAAGCGTGGAATCTGGTCAGTTAGAACTCAGAAAAACCAGAAGGACAATTTCATGAATAAAAAAGCGTATCCACTATTTCAGAGACATATGCCTAATCTTTCAACTTCATGCACAGGTAGGCCTCCACTTACAATCACAGTTTGAACCAGAATTCCCATTGATAAGCAGGGCAGTTACTCCCAATTATGTGACCTTTTTTGCCATTGTTGTTAAGCGAATCACTGCAGTTGTTAAGTGACTCGTGTGGCTGTTAAGCAAATTTGGCTTTCCCCATTGTGCTTGTCAGAAGCTGGCTGGGAAAGTCGTGAATGATGATTACATGACCTGTGATGCTACAACCACTGTAAATGTACGTTGGTTGCTAAGCAGCTGAATTTTGATCAAGTAACCATGGGAATAACTACGACGGTTGTAAGTTCAAGAACCGATCATAAGTCACTTTTTTTTAATGCCACTGTAATTTTGAATTGTTGCTATATGAACAGTTGTAAATCAAGGACTACCTGTATACCATTCTTGCAACAAGTATCTAAATAGGACACCTAATTTATGGGAAATTACCCTATTTTAAAAAAATACATAGAAGAAACCTTCCAGAAAAAAAAAAAGAAACGGAGAAACAAAACGTTAGGCTCAAGGAAGAGGAAAAAACCCAGTCAGAAGCTAAATCATAATTATCTAGCAAACGGACATCTTAAAAAGTATGGAAAGCAGTTCATGTTAAATGTAATAGGGAGTAAGATTTATCTCCCTTTAAATATAGAATTCTTGCAATTTAACAATTTAAAGATGTACCGTCCTTTAAAATGATTTAATGTATGCCTGTCTCACAGTGAAGTGCAAAAATTTTTAAAACCCATTTACACTGTTAAATACACTTTACTTATTCTAACATGATGCTGACACCCAGCCTTTTTTAAAAGTTGTACTGGTAATAGCAAAAAGAGGTAAGCTATATTATTTAACTTCCCTCCAGTCACTCATACCCAGAATTACCTTTTGGTTTGCACTGCATTGAATAAAAAACTTTTTCCTACAGTCCCACATTCACAGACAACTAAATCTGCTGCTTTGCTTAATTACACACCATTCTGTCCACAAAGATGAAAATAGATGGAGAAATTGCAACTCCAGAACAAGTGCCAGTAGCTATTTTAATCCTATCTGCAAGAAGATGGAGGGCCCCTGTAGGATTTAAAGTACTCTCAACTAAAGCCGCAAAATGGCAACATGTATTTACACGTTTGGAGTTTTTATACTTTTAAATAAAAGAAATATACATTTTGCACACGAGAAACAAAATAATGGGTTGGGGAAAGAGTCTTCATTCATAGTTTCCACATCTGTAAATAGCAGCAAGCCATGTTTGTTCACTATTTTGATCAAACAACTGCATACAATTTAAGTAAGCAATATGATATAAGATCTATCAAGAAGAGTTAAAAATAGTTTTAATAGTAGTTAACAAAAAGAAATCTTTCTGAAGTAAAAAAAAAAAAGAGTTCAGTAAAATCCAGCAAAATATATAGAAATGTGGCTGATTTTGCCACTCTGAAGGTACGGCAGATTTCTGTAGCACAACTTGAATAATATTAGGATTATAGATAGGACAGGAAGCATATCTATATGTATCTGCCAGGATGTTGCTAAATGTTCTAGGTTCATATACAGGCAGTTCTCAACTTACGACAATTGAGCCCAGAATTTAAGTGAGAAATTTGTTAAGTGAGTTTTGCCTCATTTTACAACTTTTCTTGCCACATTTGTTAAGTGAATCACTGCAGTTGTTAAATGAATAGCACAGCTGTTACGTGAATCTGGCTTCCCTATTGGCTTAGTAATCATATGACCCTGGAACACTGTAACTGTCATAAATATGAACCAGTTATCAAGCATCCGAATATAAATCACATGACCATGGGGATGCTGCAATGATTATAAGTGTGAAAAATGGTCATAAGTCACTTTTCACAGTGCCTTTGTAACTTTGAACTATCACTAAATGAACTGTTGTAAATTGAGGACTACCTATATCACAGGAAACTCAGAATAATCCACAACAATGACTTAGCATTATTTGTGAAGCAGGTTTCTATGGTCTGTAATAACAGCTACATATAGCTCAGTTCCATAAGCAAAAAAAAGCTAGGATGAGAAGTCTACAAAGAATGGAGTCAAGAGATTGACAGGTCTACTTTCTAGTCTCTGGGATCATTATCATAATTCTCCAATCACACATTGTTTTGGGGCAATCCTTTGCAGCACATATAATCTCACTCTACTCTCTGTATTTTATGTTCTCTATGAAACTGGATTAATTGCCTCTGTACAGAAGGCCTGCAGGTTTATTCCTATTCTGCTAATATAAAATCTTAAAAAACAGTGAGGCCTTCATGAACTTTCATACCAGCTAAAGAAGGTAGAAATCTCACTTTGAAATCATCCCCCAATAAAAGTCAAACTATTTTCTAATGTGCTAAATTGAGCCCAGTCAATTCATACTTGGACTAAATTGTTTAATCTAGCATTTCTTATCTAGGGAAGAAGCAAAAGACACACACAAGTGATTAACTATGCCACCTGGTGGCAAACAGCAGCATGTTCAGAATTAAATCTTTTTCATCCCCATAATATATTGACTTGTCTGTTACTAATTGCAAGATTTGAAGAAAATCACCATCAGGAAAGAACATGTCAAAATATAAGTCACAGAAGTTCATGAAATTAAGTTGTATTTTAGTTTCTCTTCAAAGACTCTACTTAAGGGATTTATCACATGTCAATCAATTTAGTAAGTTCATAAATTAAGACATAAACGGTAGCAAAGTGAATTTACTGCTAGAAATTAAGGTATCTACAAAAAGACTGGGGAATTGATTTCAATAGTATCCAACACACAAACCTGTTGTTGGGATAATCCATCTGGCATCGGAGTCATGATTGCTTCTGTGTGCATGCAATCTACATCAATAAATAGCTCCTCTTCCTCTAGACAGGTAGCTCTGTGTTCTAAAAATAAATCATATTAGAATTTCATCCATATGTATGTATGTATGTATGTACCATATGTATGTAATCAGTCCTAAAAGTATTTATTGCTCAGATTAGATTTGCATTTGTTTCACCATTGAGTAAAAATGTTTAATTGTTCTAAAAAATTCAATATACATTTACCAATATCTTTATACAACAGTATTTCTTCTGAATAATTAATTCTCTAAAGTAGGAGACCTTTATACTCTGTCCATGAATCCACAATGCACAGAATGCTGTCATGCGTCAGTGCAGCTCTACACATGCAGGGGCTTTATGTAAACCACATATTTGTTCTTCACCAAGTCATTGGTAAATACATGAATGAGAAAGGAGGTTGATTGTACATTTGCTGGTTTAGGGATAGCGATGACAACATGAAAAGTCTTAAATTACAGAACTGAAGATTGTTCTGAATGTGATAAACAGTAGTATAAGGTGGGAATAGAGCATATGGAAGAATAAGTGGAATATTTAACAACTGTTTTAACATTAAGGGCAAGTTAGATGGATCTATGATATATGTTCATGGAAAAATGTATTCCGAGTTTTCATATGTGGGTTTTGTTTTTGGTTTTTTTGTAGATACATTCAGATTGCTAACTGAGATGCCTGGCAATGAAGTAATGGTTTGACAAGGAAATGGAGCAAAGAACTCCTAGTTATACACATAAAAGGCAAAAACTTAGAGGAAAGAATATTTGTGTATCTTAAAATGTTTACCAAAGATGCAGAAATGGAAACATACATTTTTAGACTTGCAAATGCTACTATAAATGTAACAGTTAGTAGCGTGCAGTTCATCCTGAGGAATGTTTCACAAAAGAAGCAAAAATAAGCACATTTAAGATATTCTTCTGATCACCATGTAATATGGAAGGCAGCTTTGGATACATCAAGAAAAAAGTAAAAATAAGTTAAGTGCAGAGGGAACAGGATATTTAAAGACCATGTATCAAGAATATATTACTTTTCTTCTATCCAATCATATCCAATTGTGAGAGATGGCTTGGAGAAGTCTGCAGTTTTCTTGGCAAAGTTTTTCAAATGTGACGTCTCCCAGGTCTAACCTGATGCCTTAACAATTATACAAAACTGTTTCTTTTCAAGAATATACAGATGCTAAATAAATGTAGACACAACACACACAAAAAATGAATGATCAGTATGAAAAAAAGTACACCAAGCTATTTTGGTCAAAGATGGGGCCAAAACAAATATGTGAAGAGAAAAGGGAAATCCAAAATAGTTGTAGTTGAATATCTGTCATTGATGAGATCCTAAAAAAGAGAAACTTTAAAAAGTTTTCTTTAAAAAAGAATTGTTAAAAAAAAAAAGCAGTGAGGGAAATGGCAACAAACATGGTAAGAACACACAAGGAAGGTTTGTAAGGACAGAGAATGTGGGGAGGCAGAGTACATGGTGTTTCTGTAAACTATAATACCACTTTTTTTTTTTCCTGTGCCATGCCTTTCATTTCTTTGCCTTATTCCTTTTGTCTTACTCCTCACTCCTTTTGATATTCCGTATAATATCGCTTGCCATGTGTGGCAAAGACATCCATTAATGAAAATTAAGTAGTCAATCGTATGTAAAGTATAAACTTTAGAGTATTTGTTTTGATTTGTGAAACTGCCTCAACTGAATCGGAGAATTGACCTATCATTCTTTTCACATCTTCAGTCAAAATCCATAGCATGTTCATCCGGAGCATTATAATTTTAACAGCAGAAGTAACCAAAGTAACTTTATAATCCCAGTCAAGATACTCAATGTCTTTTCCATTTCTGAGAGTGAAAGTTAACTTCAATTATTCAATTATTAACTTCAATTATTCAGTTAATAAACTCAATTTAATTGCACACACACACATACACACACACTTTTTAAATCTTAAAATCAATGCTATTTTTTCCAAAAATAAGTTCAGTTAATATTTCCTTACCTGAAAATCTACCTAGGAGCTAAGACCGTTTTCTGAAGCAATGTGGTTTGAAAGATAAACAGTTAAACATTTCAATGCTATTTTGCTTTAAATGGTTAATTAGTATATCATCTAAAAAAAAAGGAATGGATGATCAGTGCATACCTTGGCTAATAAAGGACTTGGTTCTGATGAATGACCGACCTTTCTTCACAGCCGCTTTAGTTTTTTCAAGCCCGTCTTTGGTGCCCTCCCTTGCTGCTTTCATGAGCTTCTGCATCTGCAAGACAGGGACAAACAGATCCTGCATGTTCAGTGAGTAATCAGAGTGGAATTCAAAGTGTTACAAATGTTATAGCAGACACTACATGACAAGCACTGCTTGTAAAAAGAACAATGTCGGGTTGTGGAGATCAAAGTCAACAACCTATGGTAATGTTTAATGCCTGGTCATTAATATCTTCCATATTTACACATACATTTATATATTGTCTCTGGGACAATGAAAATATACACACATTATTTTCCAACATTTAACCTCCTTAACAGAATTTAAATAAGCTTCTCCGCTTTGCAATGTTTATACCAGCCTCTTCCATCTTAACATCAAGATACCACATCTCCAAGTTAAGTCTAATATGCACATAAAGAGATCAGAACGTTGGACTACAATGTTCTTCAAACACTGCTGCAACTTTTAATCCTCATTTTTATGGAACTTATATCTCACTTGAAGTAGGATGAGCAGAACAAACTAACATTTAGAGAAACCATCCTACTCCTTCTTTGATTGTTCAAATCTTCATATCCAGAAACCAGGAAAGGGGCCAACCAAGTATGAGATTTTCCTTGCATAGCTCACCATGCATGTCCAAATTTGGAGAGAAAGAAGGACAGTGCTCTCAATTTTCACTTGCATTTGCAGTTTCACTCTCTCTGCTCCTTCATGGAAAGTGTTTTCCCCTCTGATTCCATAACAAGATAAAGTAATGCTGGTATCCCCAATTAGACGTTAACTATTTAATGCTAAAGTAAACTTATACTGAAAAAGAAAAACGACAACCACATTTATTTAAATTCAAACTCTTCCAAAAGCTAAAATCTACATGACCTTCCAAAGAGATAGAATCAGACCTTAGTAACAATGACTCATCTAGGTGAATTAAACTGCAACAGCATAGCCAAAAAATCCAGAAAGAAAATGAACTGTATTTTTCATTCTTTAAATATTGAAACAGCAGTCCAAAAAACTGGCATAAAACCCCTGATAAAGTTCTTTTAAGGTGAGAGCAATACAAACAGTACAGGGTGAACACATGCTAATTTTTTCTCCATCAGCTTCGTTTACTAAAACGCACATTCATTGTGTCTGCAGAACAATCGTTTTTACATTTATCTGGTTAGAAAATCAACGATGTTACCTTCAGCTCATGTTTTTGCTTTAGTTGCTGAATCTCTACTCCTCCCACTGTGTTGGTCATCAAATCTTTCATCTTTTTCTCATAGTGCTCTTTAAAACGGGTTAGGTCATGAGAGAACTGCAGCATACAAAAGGATACAATCTTAAAATTTTAAGTGTATGTGCACAAACTGAGCGGGAGAGGCAGATGAGAAACAATGTCAACTTTAAAAAAGGGATACATTTTGCTCCTAAAGTTCATATACAGGTAGTCCATGACTCATGTTGTGTTGCTAAATGAGTTTTGTCCCATTTTCCACCATTTTTTGCCACAGCTGATAAGGAAATCACTGCAGTTCTTAAGTTAGTAACATGGTTGTTAAGTGAATCTGGTTTCCTCATTGACTCTTGCTTGTCGGAAGGTTGCAAAAGGTGATCACATGATACTTGGACACTGCAACCGCCATAAATACAAGGCAGTTGTCAAGTGTCCAAATTTTGATCATGTGACCATGGGGATGCTGTAAGAAACAGCAGTTGGATGTAGTAGGAATGGGTTATTTAAGAAAAGTATATAGCATATGGTAGAGAGCCAATTTGGTCTAGTGGTTAAAGCAGCAGGCTAGATGACCAGGAGTTCAAGTCTCACCTTAGCCAGCTGGGTAACCTTGGATCAGTCACTCTCTCTCTTTCTCAGACCAACCCATTTCACGGGTTGTTGTGGGGAAAATAGGATGAGGAAGAAATTAATAGCCTGTGTTAGCTGCCTAGAGTTATTTATAAAAATAATAAAGGGTGGGATGCCAATAAATAAAAATAAAAACAGTCTTTACTTATGGCCTTAGCTCAATTATTAGAGTGGCATTACAGCAATGCATATATTATCTCTGTCACTTCAATTTGCTCCAATCTGGACTAATTTTTTCTGTGGCTATGGTTCTCTTTCATAAAGAAGAAAAACATTCAGCTTCGCTAAGAAGCAAGCTCCGTAATGTAATGCACAGCCAACATTAATTATACAGTTAGCAGGTATAGAGATCTCTGTTAGTCTTTTGCCATGAAAAATAAGGGTTACGATATAAGAAAGGAAATTGTGGATAAGAACTACTTTAGACACTGCTTTCACTAGAGTTAACGAATGAAAATCGGTGAAACTAAAATACACCTTGCCTGACCCTTTTTAAAAATAAAGTTCCAAGAGACAAGTGGATTTGGCTGTTTCATCTGATTTTCATCCTGGGATCGTCCTAAAGTATTTGAATTAGGAATTAATTATTACCAGTCTCTGGAATGTTTTAATCGCCACTGAAGCTTTTCTTTATGATAAATTTGAACACTTAAGATGCAAGAATGCAGAGGACAACTGGTAAACTTCTCTGCCAGACAGCATAACAGAAGATCTTAATCTCTCTTCTGTAAAACTAATTTGCTTTCCAGGCAGAATGCTGCATCATTCCAGTGTGTGTGTCTGTGTGTGTGTTTGTGTGTGTCTGTGTCTCTCTGTGTGTGTCTGTGTGTAGAGCACATTGTCAGCTTGACTCCTGGACATTGCTTAGAGAAGTATCTGCAATTTTCTTAGCAAGATTTTTAGAAGTGGTTTGCCCTTGCCTTTTTCTGGGGCTGAAAGTGACTGGCCAAAGTCACCCATGAGACTTCATGAGCACGATAGGATTAGAACTCATAGTTGCCTGGTTTTGAGAAAAGTACCTTTTCTCAAGTCATTCACGCAACTTGTATACTTTCTTTTCTATTTTTCAACTTCAATGAATTAATTTAGGATTCTCGAAGCCATAGAATTAGACAACTGAAATTATTTTGTGTGTGATATAATTACACTTTATTCTTATTAGAGTTTTATTCAGTTTATTAGAGTTTCCAGAAGGAGTCATAGCAAGAAGTTAATTACTGTCCTTATAAACCTTGAACACTGCAATCAATTTGCAATCAATCTGGCTTTAGTCCTGAAATAACCCTACTCAAATTATGGTTAACATTTTATTATGGGACTGTTTTAAAACTTTGGAGCGCTAACTATTCTAGCTATTTAAACTTGTTCTATATAAACTATTCTAATTATTTAAAATTACAGTAGTTCTTGATATACCGGTTGTATTCAATTTTAAAACTATTTTTTCATATCTACATTCATAATTTTAAATATGATTCTCATTTGCATCACTGTTTAATTGTTAAACTATTAACAGTAAAGTATATTTACAAGCCTCTGATCTCTCATTTTCCCTAATATTATTTTTTTCTTCACTTTATTTTCAGTTCTTTCAGGCCAGACCCGAAGTGTACTGAGTTTTGAAAAAATAAAACGAAGTCTACTTGTATGATAGGGTTGTCAAGCTAGAACATTTACTTACAACTGAGGGTTCATCTCGTGGTTACACAGAGTTATAAAGGAATGAAACACTATATTAAATATTAGGATTCATAATAAGATATCAATGTCAAGCTCAGCCCAAGAATGACAAAGAACAATCCAGCCAAAGTACAGTTCTTGATTTCCTCATACCGATAGACAGAATCTTACCAGACTAAATTTTTACTAACCTATGTATCCCGAGAAGTTCTAGGAAGTGATTCTCTATCCTCAATCTGTTCTTCTGTCTCCTATTCATCTCCTATGGGCTGTGTTGACTGTTGACATACACACTCCCCCCTTCAAATGTGGCCCCTCCTTGCTGAGAAACAGCCACTTCAACTAATCCATCACACCACCTCTCCCTTCGTAGGTACCACCCATCACACTGAATAACTTCTACTGTACACTGCATATAAACTATATCATGGGATATCCGGAAACAAGAACATATGTATTAGGGTGGAATCTAATACTTCCTGAGTACAAATCCATTATGAAATGCCATGGGATATTCTACCTCTTCTTTCAAAACTTCTTTAACATTTAATGTACTTGCTTTGGCTTGGAATTATGTAATGCAGCTGGATGATATAAACATTGACATACTACAACTCTGGGAAGCACAAACATCCTAGAAAAAGCCACCAGAATTACATACTTGTCTTCTGTGGTTGCCACGCAGAAAAGAACTGGGTATTCCATTTTTACTCTCTGAGTCGCTCTGTTCTTCATAGCTTTCAAACTCACTGGAACTCCATCCATATTCTAGGGAGCTATTTCCACCTTCATCTCCATTCTCAACATCATCATAAATCATCTCCCCTACATCTATTAAAAAATATAAATATAATTAAGTTCTACTCATGGAAAAATTATATCTCAAATATGACCATAAATGAAAATCTTTCTTTGCTATTTTCAGTCCAAGAAATGAAAAATAATGAGAGACTTATAAGGAAAGGCCTATTATCAATGCACCAATTTTAAAATTTGGACTTCAGACATAGAATTTCCTGCAAAATATAATCTCTACGAAATGCAGCTTAAATTTAAAAGTCATAATTTTATTTTTTTAAAATCTGGACATAAATTAAAATATGTTTTATTGTATGTTTAAGAATGACTATTTCCTTCCATTGCTAATTCTCTTACAAACTCCATTTTCATTTATCTATCCATTTCCTTTCACAGTAGCCTTTCAAAGGCTATTAATGATTTATATTATTGGAAGAAAAAAAATTCTCAGTTAAAAAAATAAAATATTTAATATTGTAAAATCATAAAACTCAAAAAACATGACATCCTAGGTCCACCAGGACAATTTTTCTAAAGACAAAAATTTTAAAAGACAACCTAAATCCAAGTGGAAGGCTATTCTGAAATACAGATGCTACCATAGAATAGCACACCTATGCACCTCTATGAAATACCAGTTTGGTGTAATAGTTAAGGGCTCAGAAACTGGGAGACCATGAGTTCAAAGCTAGCTGTGTGACTTTGGGCCAGTCACTTTTTCTCAGCCCTAGGAAGGAGGCAATGACAAACTACTTTTGAAGAACCTTGCCAACTTCAGGGGCCTATCCAGGCTACCTCTGAGAACTGGATATGATTGAATGGAATAAAAGGGGGAGGGGAAACATGCTTCCATAATATGTAACTCATGGAAAGTGGGATTATCAGATGTTTCTCCCTGGGAAAATAAATATCCCTGATCAAGCTTAATTGGATAAGATGGCCCTAAGGATAGTCTGGAGCCAAGTCATACTAGCACTTGGAACTGCACTTGGAAGATAACTGGAAACTAGTTCAGATCTCCTCTGCCTGCCCTGAGATAGAGCCCTTTGGGCTGCTGCACCTGCAGAAAGGTAGGCATCCTGCACTCGTGCCTGAGCCAGCCCAATCCTCTTATCTCCTGGGTCTGTCTTGACAGTGGGCCACTGCACCTGCAGGAAAGCAGGCACACCAGCAGGGGGAGTCCTGATATAGAGGCCTCAGCAGAGTCTCTGATTCTCTCTGATGCATCTTTCATCATCTGCTGCTCCTCCTGCCTTAGCTCCCTCCTCATCAGCTGGCAGTTTGCTTACTTCATTGCTTGCATGTGCATGCACCATGGTTGGCAAACGTTCCAGTGGATCAACCCAACGTTGGAGGCTTTTTGTTTGGTTTTTGTGTTTTTTAAATAAATCATGATCTCCCAGGGAACCCTTAGTGACCTTCTAACGGAACTAAGGATCTTAGTCTGCAGAATCACAACCAGAGTCATTCAAGAGTGAGGAGACTTCACAAATTTTATAAATAAATAAAAGGGGTTGGCTGAATTAAGATAAGTAATGCTATAAAAGAACTACCTGGCAATATAGAAACAGCTGATTTCAGCCAAACTGTATTTATATAATATATATATAATTGTGTATTTTTCCCCATTTAGTAAGCATTAGCGGCATACCATATTACCATATATAGAATTTCAGAAAAAAAAATATCTACGCTTAAATGTAAAATCAAGGAATCTTTATCCTGGCAATGGTTTTTATCATGGGTGGCACAAAGTATGAATAGGTTGCGAATAATCTAAACATTCTAAAAGATTTATGGCAGAGGGCAACAATATTAAATATAACTGAAATCAAGACATTCTATATAGAGATGATCAGAAGAAAGATCTGGACAACACATCATGTCAACACATCAGGTAAGTACTATTCCTGGGGGGGAAATTATGGGTCACAGCAGACATAAACTGTATATAAAGTAAAGATAATATACAAAAGCATAAAACAACAGGTTTAAGATAACACTGACTTTTGGCAAGCCCTTCCCTTGTTTAGAAAAACATTACCCATCTGTCCTAATGCAAGAAGGGATGGGAGATAACATAAAATGAACAATGAAAGGAGAAGAAAATTATCTTATAACATTCTGCTATACTGGTACATATTCAATCTGATTTATGCTAATGATAAAGAGAGGGGAAGCATCCTTTAGAGGGAGGAGTTTGCATATCACATGGTCTACTGTAGTGTCACAACAGCATCACACATCATAAACATTTGGTGGCCTTCTAATTGTCATGGTGGCTCAGCTGCTGGGAATTGTATTTGCACAACTTCGATAGAGCTCCCTCAACCTTGAAAAAAATATACTTGATTTGAAGGAAAATGTGCAGTTTGGAACAACATCAAGTTAAAAAGGCATATCGCATCTCTAATAAATTACCAAAAAATTCAGATATGAACAAACCCATTCTGGGTGATGTACAACATCAACATCAAAGACACCCCTTCATAAAAATAAATTAGATCCAGAATTTAAAAACAAAACCACACACCCTAAATAAAGCCCAACATAGTCAATCAGCTGAGACCAAAAGGATGTTGAAATGGAAGAGTTTTTATCGTTTACCTCAGTGATGATACAAGACTTGGCTAGGATGGCCAGATTCCTGGTGCTGTGTGATTTAGGGTAATGATTGCTCCTTTGTTAGATATCATTTCTAGGGAAGTCCATATAGAGACAGAACATTCCAGGGAACATTTGAACATTCCACATTTCTTCTGGACCACAAACTATTCCCTGGAAGTTACCAACTATAGCAACAACTTCCGAAATGGATGGTATGTGTAAGCTGGGTAGAAAAACACAACACTCCAGTGTTCTTCAGAACATAACTGCTGCTCAAAATCACTGTTATGGAATGGGCAGACATATAAACTACCGTGTTTCTCCAACAATATGCCCCCCCCCAAGAAGACCCAGCATGTTTTTTGGCATAAAATGAAATTAAGCCCCTCCCCCCAAACTTAGGCCTATTTTAAAACATGCGAAATTGGGGGTGGGAGGTGTGGGGGAACTTGCCATTAGGAGCGCCCCGCGGGCAGCTACGCCTCGCCATCAGCTGCTCCTAACAGCCGATCATGGCGGAGCGCGGAGGGCTCCCTTACCCCACCAAGCACCTTTGCTGCAGACCCGGGTCAGCAGGCAGGCGGTGTCGGCGTGGATGTCCGCCGGCAGCGTTTCAGCCGCTTCTCAGGCCTCCGTAGCTTCCACGGTTCTCCAACAACAGCAGCAGCAGTGGCGGGAACCGTGAAAGTTACAGAGACGGCTCCCCCACCCGAGAAGCGGCTGAAACGCTTCCACAGTTCCCGCCGCTGCCACCGCTATTGTTGGAGATGGCACTGGTGAGAGAGGGACAGCTGCACCTCGGCCTGGGCGCGCTTGGAATGCAGGAACGGGCTGCACACCGGGACTTTTGGAAACTTGCAGAGCCCGAGGCTGGAGCACCAAGGGTAGCAGCAGCAGAGACGCTCGCTCGGCTCTTCTCACGCCCACCCAGCCGCTCGGGATTAAACCAAAACGCAGTGCGTGGCATTCTCAGGTACCTCAAAATGTTTTTTTTCCCTGTTGTTATGGGGACGGGGGAAAAGCGGGAGCGACTCAGACGTTGTTGTTGGAGACAGCGCTGGTGAGAGAGGCGCCAGCACCGGAGGGAACCGTGGAAGCTATGGAGGCCTGAGAAGCAGCTGAAACGCTGCCAGTGGACATCTCTGCCAGCTCGCTGACCCGGGTCTGCAGCAAAGGCGCTTGGTGGGGGTAAGGGAGCCCTCCGTGCTCCACCATGATTGGCCATTAAGAGTGGCTGGTGGCGAGGCATAGCTGCTGGTGGGGCACCCTAGGCAACGGTGTGTGTGTGGGGGGGAGAAATCACCCCCGAAAAGACATCCTAGCTGTTTTTTCGGGGCTCAAAAAAAAAAAAAAAGACCCGGCCTTATTATATGAGAAACACAGTATTTAAACCAACCAATCAATCAATAAATAAAAGCATTCCAACCTTAACACAGTGGGTTTTGTATATTCCTAATTATTTTCCTGGTCTAAATCAACCTCAAACTAAATTTTTAACTTTGGTAAGGTTTGATTGTCATGCATATAAGCACAGATTTGAAAAATAGGTACACAATCCAGAATCATTTGTGAGGTTTCAATAACCTCCACAACTATTGAATTATTAAATTCCTGGAGAGTAATAATCTTTATTAATTTTAATTATATGGAAATGAAATACATTTTCATTTCCATATAATATTTATTAGGCCCCGGTCATCATTTTAGGTGCATAGTCTCTAGCATGCTATTCTAAAGCCAAACAAAGACTTTGATCTGGATCCCCATTCTATACGACAATAGCCTAAAATATAAGAAATGTTGTAGAAGGACAGCTAGGGAAAATTAAACATTTCTTCCACTTGGATCATCTATTGTATTTTCCCCTCTAATACTGCTAATTAAAATTGAATTTAAATTTATACCTGGTTCAGAGTCTGAATTTTCTCTTGGTACATCATCGTATATTACTTCATCAGGATCTAAAACCAAAAAGGAAACCCTCAATTCATTACTATTGGAGAGATTCTTTTAAAAATAGTAAAAATGTGTAATATAGCCTTCTAAAGACTACAATAAAACAATGATACACACACATATATTCTGTTTTTTGTCTAGTCAGAAGCATATTATTCATTTGATACCGCTTCACAATTTCAAGTGAGTTAACAAGATCCAAATAAAAATGTTCAAAACCAGTCTCATGATTTTCTCCTGCACTACCCAAATTTCTGCTTTGCGTTATAGAAGAAAACTCTTATTTTTACAAATAAATCTAAAAAGACTTGTTTAATTCTTAAAAGTGCACTTATGTAAATGCATTCATTAGAACACATTGATGGTTATGTATCTACATAAGCATTTAGATACATGACCTACATATGCTTCTACTGAATGCATTTGTATAATTGCAGTTTGTAAGTAGTAAACAACTGAATAAGCATTTTAGATTTGAAAATCCATCTTCTATATTGTGATTCCTCACGTTATACAATTGCTCATGTGACAATTTACATTTTCAACACTTATTCCTTAATATCTAGCCTAAGTATAACTACTAAGGCAGCAATTCCCTTTTATTTTACATCCTTCTTAGAAGCATTGTTCAAAAACTGTAGCACATGTGCTCAATTCTTGTTTGTTTCTAGTACCCTTTCAGATGACTATTAATTCATATCTGTTCTTTTGCATTTCTGTCACAGAATAAAGTTTTTTTAATGAACAAATATTCACAAAAAGCAGGTGAGATCTTGAGCCAAGAAGTGAATGCAATTAAAACAAGAAGAGAAATTAATATCCATTGCATATACTATTTCAGAAAGTCAATTCAAATTAGTATTTCCAAAGTTTAAATTCCTTGGATTTCCTTACAATGAAGAGGTTTTCTTCCAGATTCACTGGAGAAAGGAAACACACATCAAATGCAACATCTTGTTTTTCAGGTTTTGTTTATACCTTTGAACTTGTACAAAATATACGCCTTTCAATTTATTTGCTTCATCTAACTCACATATGTAAATAATTTCCTTATCAAGCAACTAACAAATATTTTTTATGAGTGCTAAGATATGATTGGACATAAAACAGTATTTATTTTTGTGAACTGCTGTAACATTTCTGCAGAGACACAATCTCTGAATTCGGGGCGTCCAAAACATAATCTTTCAAACTGTTACAAGCTTGAAATGATATGAAATTTCCCACCCCAGTAGCAAACAGACTATTCAAAATTTTAGAAGCCTTTCAATCTTGGAACAGGATGGTTCTGAGATTAAAAGAGTGCCAAGTTACTTGAAACAGTTTATTATATACTCAAACTGACACGTTTTGCAGACAATTTTGCACTGCCTTCTTGGAATTTATAAATATCATCTGAATAATGAAAACAGTCCAGGCATCCAAAAGATGTTGGTCCAGAGTGTAATTAATCTGATAAGTGCAGCGATCTGAGCCATTGATCCAAGACTATCAAATGCCTTCAGAGGAACTGTTGGTCATCCATACTCACTCTCCATCCACTCTGTATTTGCAGGGTCAGCCACCCATTTGGCCAAGGCATTCTCATCTGTGCTCCCCTGATTGTCTTCACTATAAATTAAAGCACACACAGAGAAAATAAATATGATTTTCATGTATTCAATTGACTTGAAGCATAATCTTATTTGCACCTTGACTTGGAAACTCAATTAAGTTTAATGGGAGTAGGAGAATATGAAACTCCATTAATTACTACAATGTTAATTAATGAATTTAAAGAGATCTTCCATGAAATGTTGTTCTCAACACTATATTATGACTTTAAAATATGCTTCAAAAAAAAAATCTAAGAAATTAAGAAAATATTGGAATGTGCTGAGATGAGTAGATTGACATTTGAAATTAGAGAGCAAGAGGATAAACAATTCTATAAAATTTGGGACCTTTTCTATCAATGGTTGGATGATAAAATATAATAATAGAATATTTAGAATGTTAGATAACAAGGAATATCTTTTCTTTTTCTTTTGTTATTTGACATCATATCTATAAAGTGTTTTCAGGATAGATCTGGTATGATTATATGATTTGTTATAGAACAAACTATTTAAATTATAGTTATCTCATAAAGTATGAATGAATAAAATTATAGTCAAATGATTTTCTAATAGCGATACTAGGATATATAAGTTTGGATTGATAATATGAGTTATTATGTAAGGTAACTGTAATTGAGACTACGAAATGAATGCACAAAACTGATATACCAACCGACACACTGTTTGTATATATATATATGGAAGAGAGCTGATGTTTTTATGTTTTGTTTGTTTTGTTTGTTTTTAAAAAATCAATAAAATTGTTTTCAAAAAAAAATATATATAAATTGCTTCTGAGAGAAGTGGCAAAGAATCCTGAATCTAAAGGCTTACAATTGTGCAGGAAAAAAGTGAACACACAAAAGAATCTTCTTTGGTGGGGGCACAAGTAGTGCTCCGTTGGGCTTCAATGCAATCTTTTCAGGCAAGACCTCTGACCTTGATCTCCCAAGTTACCTAAAGTAATGCTGAACACAGCTTCACTCCTCCTATTCAGAAAATAGTGGTACATTTGCATCAGAACTCCCTCCCAGCCCCTCATTAGTCTGCTTCTCTCTCTTTGAGGCATCTCTATAACCATACAGAGTGAGAGTCTTTGTATCTCCTTGCCTCTGTCTTGAGTCATACAGATTTCTGAAGAACAAATAAGGTATACGTGTTTTCCCTCTCCTCATTCATCCAGGAGGAGGAAGAAAGAGTGTGAAAAATGAAGAAAAGCTGCTTGCAGCAATTCCTAAAGTCTTCTCTTTCCTCTCCTTTCTGCTGAGGCCCTGCATTTTGGGGTGCCCCCTAATAGGAAAGGGCAACAAGATGAAGAAGAATCTATTTGCCACCATCTCAAGGTTTGTATTTCAGATATCACAGTTCTGCCTCACACGATCAGGTATGAAGTACAGGACAATGACTGGGTGAAAAGGGGAGCCCAACAAGCCTTAAAGCAGCTGCCAGCCCTGGAAAGCAGCAGCGGTCATTGACCGGTGGTCTGTGGACCACTGGTGGTCCATGAGAAAATTTTGGTGGTCCGCAGAAAAATTATTTGCACATTTTACATTGCATTTAAATACTATTTATCTTTTTTTAAAAAAAATCGTATTGCTAGTCCGCAGGATTTAAAATTATGAATTTAGTGGTCCCTGAGGTCCTAAAAGTTGGCAACCCCTGCCTTAAAATGCCTTTCCTATATTTATATTACTATTCTTTCCGAAATGATTATTCATCTAAAATATAAAGAACGTTGTCAATTCATCTTAAGGTTTTGCCTGTACAAAATAGAATATTTTTATTGGCCAAGTGCGACTGGACACACAAGGAATTTGTCTCTGGTGCAAAAGCTCTCCAGATACATACAAGCACCAAAGTGATATTATAAAGCATGAGATACAGGTAGTCCTCCATTTACGACCACAAATGAGTCCCAAATTTCTTTTGCTAAGTGAAACATTTGTTAGGTGAGTTTTGCCCCATTTTACGATCTTCCTTGCCACAGCTGAATCACTACAGTTGTTAAGTTAGGAACACAGTTAAGTGAATCTGAGACCCCCTTTGACTTTGCTTGTCAAAAGATCGAAGGGTGATTTTGTGCCACCTCCCCAGGACACCGCAACTGTCATAAACATGAATCAGTTGCCGAGTATCTGTATTTTGATCACATGACCAACAGGATGCTTCAACGGTCATTAGTCAACGGTCATTAGTGTGGAAAACAGTCATAAGTCACTTTTTTCATACCAAAGTTGTAACTTTTAACAGTCATTAAATGTACTGTTGTAAGTCGAGAACTACCTGTACAGTCATAAATCATACAATACAACCAACAGACAGGTGATAGTAATAAGATACCAACAGAGTAAGTAATGACCTATGCATGCTTCCTATTTCATCTCCAAATTAGAAAAAAAATGCGGCTCCTGTAAAGTTTTGACGATCAGTTCCATGCTTGCAGAGCTGGGCACTCTGAAGCATCTCTTGGAGACCAAATCCAAAGCACTGGTAAAAAAGCAACCAGTTTAATAATGGTCAGGGCTACATTTCTGCTTTATCTTTACTATCCACTAGCAGGTGTGAAAAATCACACTCAGGTTGCCTTGACTGCCCAGAAGCTATTGAACAAGCAATCCCCTTCACAGTTTCCTGCCTCTGATACAGTCTGATAGAGTGGCTGTTTTTAACACGGACTCCTTCACATAAAAACAAATGCTGAAGATGAACTAATACGCCACTCTGCATCAACAGCTATTTTATTTCCAGTGTCATTGGGAAGAGAGAGGGTAAGGACAAACAAAATCTCTAGGCATTACAGGAGGACTTTCTCCCATAAATGTTTGGGGGGGGGGGGGGAGAAATGGCCTTGCTTTCATGGACTCAAGAGACTTGGTGGCTTTTGTTCAAATAAGGCCATATGGATTATTGCCAGTATGTTCCCACTGGCTCTAAATTTAGGAATCTGATTTGGCCCATGCTGCCTAGCAAATGTTTACCGTTCATTCCCCACCCGCCAAAAGCCCCGATTTGAAAAACACAGTCTGCAGCTGTCTAAACGGGTAATGTCCACCTGAACTGCTTACAAAAGACATTATAAAGGGAAGGTTTTGGGAAATGACTCAGAAATGAGTCACAATAATAATCAGGCAAGGGGCAGGTAGTCAGGATGAAGTATAAAGAAATAAACAGATATTGAAGTGAAAAAGCATTTGCTATAGGAACGAGAAGGAAAAAAAGGTTTTAAAAATCTATATAAAGCAATGAAGTTCATTTAGTGTAGCATCTTGCTTTGTTCAATAGATGGTTGATGGAAAAATTAGAGGCATGACATTGCTACAGCTTGACTACCCTCAAAGTAGTAATAAGGCATTTGTAGCACTAGATGTACCAGCCTATATCTAATAATAACATAATCAGACATCAGTGGTCTTCTGGAACAGATTTTGGAGAAACTTGATGAGGAGCATCTATTTCGTAGATGGAGGTCATTCCATCAACAGACAGGTATTATTAACCATGGTCTGTATTGTTCCAAAGGTGCTTTTTTCAAGAGGCAATTATATTTTCTTGTTTTTCTTTGAATACATTTCGTTTCTCATCCAAGTAGCTTGCTTGTTCAGCTCTGAGCTAAAGAAGCTTCTTAGATGAGAAGTGAAATGTCTTCAAAGAAAAACAAGAAAGTCCAGTTGCCCTTTGAAAAAAAGCACCTTTGGAACAACCATGACCTGGATGATTGAGAATTTCCACAGATAATGGTCTGTATTGTTAAAGAAGCGATATGATCCTTTCCCAAGTCCTTCTTTTCATAGACATATTCGACTATGAAAAGACAAGGATCTTATCACTTTTTCCTGAATATGTACTAATCCTGTTGTCCTCAATTTAAAACACTGGCCACCTACTTTTCTACTGAATTCCAGATGCACTGAGACTATAGTCTTGTTATACTTTCACAATAAATGTCATTAAATATTTGACTTACCTATTTGGAGGCTCTTCTGAACTCTGAGAATGACCATCCTCAGCTACTATATGAATATTTGCTAAAGAAATGATACAATCTCTCAGTCACAGTGACATTAAAGGGAAAGCATTTTAAATTAACATTCATTATAGTAATTTGTCAAATAAAATTTCCTGCTCTTAAATACTTTCAATGGGCTTCTAAAGGCCTCCATTAATAATGCATTTTATGAGCTCCTCTGAATATACGATTATAAATATTTAAGTAAGCCAAAAGGGCATGTTATATCCTTCCGTGCATATATGTAAAACCCCTTTCATTTTATAAGCTATGAACAGAATTCTTTATTGGCCAAGTGTGATTAGACACACAAGGAATTTGTGTCCAGTGCATAAGCTCTCAGTGTACATACAAACAGCAAAATGATAGATTATATATCATAGATCATAGTTACCATCATCATAATATACAAGTGATAAATCATAGATTATCAGTAGCAGAAGGTAGTAGGAAAAATGAGAAGGATAATATCAATACATTGGGTAAATATTTTTAGGCCTAAGACAGTGGTATGGGTCATATATTAGCACATATACAAGATAGTTTAGAAATAGAGACATTTCAAAGAACTGATTATAATACAGATAAAGGTTTCTATAATTCAAGATAGAACAGATTTCTGCTTCCACAAAAGAACTTTTTCTTCTTCCCAAATATCCCTTTGCACACTCTCCAAGTGTTACCAAAAGCCAGACAAACCAGGCAGAGAGAATTTGAGGGGAAGAGAAGAGGGGAGAGTCCTATTAATAATTTATTTTGTTTATTAAAAACACAATTCTAATAAAATTGACACTTTCTAGCACAAAAATAAGTTGTCAACACCACAAAATTATCATTAACGGTCTAAATAAATCTTATTAACAAAGATATTTAAACTATGTTGCAAGTCCAACCCACTGAGCAATGTGCATACCTTTGGATTACACAGAGGCAAAATATCCAAGAATTTAAAGGACCATTGAAAGGAAAATAATTCTATTTTTTAAAAATATATAATTATGCATAGCTCTACACTACCTTCTTCATCCACAGAAGGGTTACGGATTATAACAGGACTGGAATACGCCGGCAATATCAATGGCAAATTGGATGGCACGGCATAGCCACAAGGCACCGGAACCGAATAGCCACTTGAGAGGGTGGGACTTATAGTGCCATCTTGTGTGCTTGGCTCTGGTGACAGCAACAGCTCCTTTTCCTGCATTGGTGAAATGGTTATGACAGAGTATGGGTTTACCCGTGGTAGGATGCCCTCTGCATTGGCTTTGGAGTTTTGCATTTTCTCAGCTTCCTCTAGGTTTTCTAGATTTTCATTCCCTTGAATACAAAAGATACACATTTTTGTCAAATAAACTCTCCTCATAATGAGAAAAAAAAAATCAAACTTCCTCCCTTGCAAAATGAATATTCCTCCCCTTCAAAACCAAGCTACTTTCTACGTATTGCACTTCAGATCTGAGGGCAAAAAGGTGCTTGGAGCACATATGAAGTGGTTATATAGTACTGGTCTTTGACTCCTTAAAGAAGGGGTGTCAAACTCAAGGCCCGTGGGCCAGATTTGGTCCGCAGGGCCACCCTGGAAACAGCAAAGGATGGGCCCACGGTGCCTCTGCGAGTGAAATTGGAGCTCAGGAGGATTGTGCTCCAATTTTAGCCGTGACTGCCTCCTGCGGCCCTCTACCAGCAAAAACAGCTTGGGGGGCTGCTCATGCCCCCCCCCCAACTCCATTTTTGCAGGCAGAGGGCCGCAGGAGGCCATTGTGGCCGAAAGCAGAACTCGGGAGCCCGTTTTCAGTGGCAGAGCACTTGAGCCACCAGACACCCCCGATATGCCCACCCTGGCCTCCTGTGAGTCAAATACAACTCTGATGTGGCCCTTAATGAAATCAGTTTGACACCTCTGCCTTAAAGCAACTGTCTTTCCCAGAATAATGCAGCTGACTTCTTGAAGAAGGAAAGCCTTACAATGGCCAACAAGAGCTCTTTCCCGCGCCTTTGTTCTCTCCCCTGGGATTTTAAGGCAATCTTGAGAGCACTGGACCACACCTGGTTTCCAATTCTAAAAGGGAAAATGCTGGGAGCAGGGTTATGTTTGAAGGAAAATTTGTTTCAAGGAAAATTTGTTTCAGGTGGAAGAACAGAAAGGAAGAATTTGCAGCTGTCAACTCGACAGGTAGGTGATGGGGAAGGAAGAGCGGACTTGGCCTTCAGCAAACCAACAGGAGGCAAGCTGAAAGGGGAAGCAGAGCTCAGCAGGTGCATCGCTCCTTTAGAAATGGTGAGAAACTGCAGCTAGTCAACAGGTGATTAAAACATCTTTTTCCACCTCAGCACAGACAGAGTGTATCTGCAAAGCAGCAGAAAGAAATTCTGGTTCCCTCCTGTACCAATACAACAAAAAACACCTCCCGAGAGGCCTTTGGGGCCCGAAAAGAGACGTGGAGACAGGCTGCAAATATTTCTAGGGGTGTTATAATCGAGGCTCAATAATAGTGAGATGGAATGCTGCGTTATTTTAGACTAGCTTGCATACAAATCGAATCCACAGCTTGAGTGTTTAATCTGTTAGGCAAACTGTTCTGCCTCGAGATTTAGAACAGAGTGGAGGTGTTGAGTGCTTCAGATTAGAAGGGGAAAGGATGTTTCAGAATGTACAAAGGCACTTATCTGCAATTCCTTAAACCTAATGTTCCCCCTCCCCTGGGACTGGTTACTGTTGAAGTATAAAGGGGGGGGGGGTGTCTTTTGGGAAATAGTACGAATCACCAACAGTTTTATCTTTCCTATGTTTTAAAGGAAAGCCTTTAAAAGGCTTTTGCTACGGTATAAATTTAATAAACATGCTTATTTTCCTAACTTCTACCTTGACACTTAAAATAAGTGTAGTATAATATTGCATAGGCATAGTAATAACACTGTGTCAATATCTATGTGTATATCTTAATCCAAAAATAGTTGTATAATGATTCTGTTCTCCTTTGTTGCCTGAATTTATACCAAGGTTTTCAGCCACCTTCATGTTGGTCGGCTTCAATTGCTGTCAGCTGCTATTCTAAACTGAAGAGTCTTGTAAACCTCTCTCCACTGAGAGCCAGGCTGACAGATAGAAAAATTTAGCAACTCAAATCAGTGTCTTGTCCTGAATTATACAACTCGCACCATTCAATGTAGGAGCATTAGAAAAGGGGCGTTGGTCCTACCTGACACGCCTCTTCTCGAGGAGTCAGGGGGAGAATATGACAATTTTATACAGTAGTCATGTTGGCCTGCTCTTGCAAATTCTTATGGAAGGCAGGACAGAATTTCAGAAAGCTGCATCTCTTGGCACTGGAATAATCTCTGAATCTATACATTGAGAGTGTCATCTCGCAGTGGCTTAATTTCATGGGTCCCTAAGAGTAATTTACATACACCTTTTCCTGGGACAAAGCTCATTTAGGCTTTCATGCAATGAACAGGTTTAATTTTTGAGAGCCCGAATTAGTTCAATCTGATTCCTAGGAGTAATGATTTGCAAGGACTATAGAGTTACACTCAAAGGCAATTAATATTCACAAAAAGTAACAATCTCATTATTTATTTTGCCTGGAATCATGTACCTATACAATTTGCCTCTTCTTGAATTGGCAAAATAGTTTGTCTGTCTGCTTCTGGAATCTCATCTCCACTATCAAAGTCAAACTGTTCTCCTTCTTCATCCTCTTCTTCATTAGCAGCAGTGATTGATACGTCATTTCCTAAAACTAAAAAGTGGAGATCTTGAAAAGACAAACCAAACCCTTGACAAACAATGGGTATGAAATGAGTTACAATTACATTTTTAACACTTAGCATTAGGACTTCAGTATGCTTCACATTCAAAACCTATGAATATCTATTTTCAAAATTATAACATATATTGATTACTGTGGAACTAGTGTTGGAAGTATATAGGAAGCAGGATAAAAATTCAGCAAATACATGAGAAGAAATTCCACTACTTAGTTGGTAGCTGTTATTGCTCAAAAGTAATGTATGCAATATATTATTTTGATATACATGCACTCAATTTATCCATCATTCTTAAGCAAATTAAAAATATGGAACTTCCAAATAATCAATGCTGATAAAAAGAAGAATGCAGACAATCTGCTCTTAGTGATCAGCATCCTTACACATCCACCAAAAGGTGTATAAAGCCAGTAAGAATCTCCAATACACTTTTCAACATTTAAATCGTTCATCATGTACAAAACCAAAATGAACTACCTGGGTTCAAACAAATTTATGTCAGGAAACATTTGCAAGCTTGTCCTTTTATTACTATATATAGGTAATCCTTGACTTATGACACGTTGCTTAGTAACCGCTCAAAGTTACAGTAGACCCCTCCCCCCCACAAAAAAGCTACTAATGACCTGGTTTTAAGTTCATTGCTATAGTCCCCATACTGTCATTTGTCCTTACAATCAACTGCAGGGACAGAAAGGAGAATACAGGGTGCCTCAGGAGGTAGGGAGGCTTGGAAGGCCTGGGGTGTGAGGGTCGTGAGGCAATCATGTGAGCACTTAACAGCTGTCACAACTTCTGACCATAATGACCGTCTTGAGTTGAGGACTTTCTGTACTATTATATAGAACATGTCTCCAGTATGAACAGGGGTGTTGTGCATTGTTAACTTATACATGAAAGAACATATTCCTAATTAAAGAATTTCTTTTTTTTTCATTCCTGCGTGTAGTTTATCGTTCTGATAAACTACACGCAGGAATGAAAAAAAAAGAAATCCCAGTATGGCACTCCCACTTCTGTATTCTTGCCAAAGAAACTGACTAGGCATGTCCATGAAATCACCAGGAGCCCAGCATGACTTGGGAGATTTATCTTTAATTAGGAATATGTTCTTTCATGTATAAGTTAACAATGCACAATGCCCTGCTTACATTAGTGGGGGGAAAAGATTTCTGTTCTATCTCTCTGTTGTGAAGCATGGCTGTTATATAAAAGTAAATAATTAAAGCTGGTTTACTTATTTTTATTTTTCTCTGATTTTTTTAAAATTAAATACGTTGGCTTTTCCCTTTCTTTTTAAAAGACTTCTCTTTTAAAGCAGAAATTCAGACACCAAATAATCACCAGCAGCTTCCACAAAAAGGTCTATTGAGGGCTACAATTCAGAAGCTGTTCTCATTTGACTTAAATCTTGGCTCCATTTGTACCATCTTTTGTAACTGTCTGTGTGCATAAATTGGCATTTCTCACAAACAAATGCCATATAGTACAAAGTTCAGTTTAAGCAATATTCTTACAATCCTCAAAGAAGGCTCTGTCAGACAGACTTCCTATTAAATTCTTTGTTAAACATCTCACCTTACATGAATTTTAATAATCCATAATTTACAATATGACCAACATCCAGTGCACAAATTATTTAAATTATTTCTTTGCGATCATATGTAGAATTTAGTTCTGAAATGCCATAAATAGGATTACAGTCTATCAGGCATTTTTCATTAATTTATAAAAAGGCTACCATCTTTTTTTTTTTTTTAATAAAGTTTTATTTGGGTTTTCACACATACAAAATACAAGTAAAACATCTTTTTTGAAAATAGCATGGTCCCGGGTTGAACTTCCTTATACAGATACAAAACTCAATTTCATGCTCCTTTTTGTGTCCTTTTCCATATCTTATATTATTCTATATTTTCTATATAGTTTTTCCCCTCTTTTAATTTTCTCAATTTTATTTTGATTATCTCATCTCAATTCAAATCATTATATTTATACTTTTGTCTGTTCTGTTTCAATTTCATATTTCTTTTCTCATTAAACAAATTTTCTCCTGTAGTTACTAATTGGAGTATATATCTTTTAATTATATCAATTCAACTCTTATTTAAACTTCAATATATACCTTAAGGTTATGACCTTCAGTATAATACATAATACATAACTTCCAATCAAATTCTGCTTGGTACATTCTTATAATACACACTATATTCTTTAAAGAAAAAAAAGATTATAAATATATGTAATTATAAACCCTCATTCCATTACAATTCAGTTCTATCATTAATAATCATTAAAATCTTAACATCTTTAACACTTCTTTTCAATTAAATATCATACTTCCTTAAAGACACATATAATCTCCATAATTAATTTTTCCCTTATTTCTCTTCACGTTTTGTAAATCATTAAATATTCATTTTGTTACATTTGTTTATTGACAAGCATTCCACTGAATTACAATAGCTTTTTTATCAAACATTTTAATCATACATTGTTTCATATTTTCTAAAATTATTTCTGTTTCTAATGTAACAATATTATCTTATGTATCTTTTGCAGAATCCCTTTTTCCATTAAATTTTCACCCATTGTCTCTAAATAGGCCCTGTTTCTCTATATTTTGTTTCTGTCCTTTATAACTTATTTTCCTTTCTTTCTTCCCTCTCATCTTCTCCCTCCCCTTTTTAACCCCCTTGTCTCTCTACTTCTAATTCTCTCTTCTGCATTTCCCTCTTCTGTTGCTTTCTGATTTTATACTTATTTTTCACTCTATTTTTTTTTTTTTGGAGTTGTTTTTCCCAATCTTAAACTTTCCATTCTCTTTCCCCCCTTTCCTCCCCCCCCCACCTAAGATTACTTGTTCATTAAAGATGGCTTCTTCTTTGTTGCAATCTTCTTGTTCTGCAGGCATTTCTTGTTGTTTCTCATAAACAACATAATTTCTCATAATTCCAAATCTCCATTTCTAAAAACTGAAATACGAAGCCAAAAGAACCTCTCCCTTCTTGTGCATCTTCTTTGTACTTTTTAAGTTCCATTTTCAATTCTTCTAAAAGTGGAGCCATTTTAAATAGTTTTAAACAACCACCTGATTGATTTTTGTCATTCAAATACAATAACCAAAAATCCAGAAATCATCAAGTAATCCAAATAGTCCCAAGTTATTTCTTCTTATTTCTTTTTCCACTTTCTCTTCCTGGGGTTTTTGTTGCGATATTTCAGTTAAAATGTATCTTTTGGAAGTCTTGTTGAGATTTTGCTGTAAGTTCTTTTTAATTCCAGGCAGTCTCCTCCCTTCCAGATCCTGCCCTTTTATTCTTTTTCTCTCCTTTCCTGTTTTCAAAAGCTTTTGATTATCCAGAAATCTTTATTATCCCTTTGACTTTTTATTTTCAGCATTAATTGCCTATTAATGTCAAAGTGGATTTTTTTCCAATTTCTTGCTTAAGTCTCTTAGCTGTCAGTATAGGAAAAGGAGAAAAAAAAACCAAATCTTTTTCCTTTTCTCTCTCCTTCGCAGCTTAAAAATCTTTTTACAGAACAATGTTATTGTTTTTTTTTAATAGTTTCAATTCCAGGGTACCTTATTTGTTGCTTTTGCTGTTTAACCTGGTCAACCACAACTTTCTCTTCTTATCTTCCTCCTGCACATTCTTTTCCAGTCGAGTTCTTCTTTGTAGTGGCCATTTCTGACCACCGCTACAACCACCTTCGGGAAAGGGAGTAATGGCCAGCTGGGAAGGAGAGATGCGGCTCTCCTCAACCCTGCAGGCAGTCTCCCCCTTCTTCACCACCTCTATGAGGTGGCTTAGCCCCGACTTGGGGCGCTCCAGCGGTGAGCATGGATTGAAGCCTCGCAGAGACGAGGTTTCAGTCTGTCGCCGAAGAAGCTCAAACCGGAAGCCTTACAGGCTACCATGTTTTCTTGTATACTCTACTTTTTCTAAATATACTTTCTTTAAATAATTACCAAAAGTTGAACATTCTTTACCAAAGCTTCTGAATAACATTTCTACACACAGATAGTTTTAGAAGATAAATAAAGCTGTATGAGTAATTCTGGCCAGAGCAAAAGGTTCAAAAAATCAGGTTTAACTTTTGATGCCTCTCCATCCAATTTGAACCCAGTCTTCCCAAATCTCCAGAAATTTTTTTTTTCTTTACAGGAAAGTATAATATAGTGCAATTATTAAATCTCTCAGACTCATCCTAAATATAACTCAGAAGATCTGGATATACTATCTCACATTAAAAAAGAAAGAAAGTGAGGTTTCCAGTTTGTCGGCTTCGCGAGCGGCAGGGATTTGCGAAGCTGCGCGATCCCTGCCGCGCTAGCCGTTTTTGGGGCTCTGACCCAGACGGGTACGGAGCTAGGCTGCCCTGCAGGGGCAGCTGAAGGTAGGGGGGATCCGGAGAAGGGTTTGGGGGTGTTGCAGACCCCCTCCCCGGCCGGCAGAACCCCCTTTTCCCAGGACGGTGCAGCGGCGGTCCGTAATGGCCACCACAAAGAAGCTGGCAGCTGGGTAAGAATGCGCAGGAGGAAGTGGAGAAAGTGCTTGAGAGGAGAAAGTCTTTCTTGGTTCCTAGGACTCTAAGACATATTTAACAAAATTCCTGAAAAGTATGACTTTCTGAATGATACCTTCGAGAAGAGGAAAAAAGCGGCAGTTTAATGGTGCTGAAAGGATAGCTTACCCTCTTTTTTTACGGAATAAAAAGTGAACATTAAGAAACCTATTTTTTTTAGGTGAAAACTGGCTCTAAGCGGTGAGTGGGAAAAGAGAGGACTAAAAAAAAAATATTTGTATGCTAAGACCTTGTTGGAGGAGATGCCTTAAGGATTGAAAGACTAAAATATATTGCAATAAGATTTTAAGAAACAGATTTGGACTTTCTTTTTCTTTAATTGATACTACCCCAGGAGGAGAGAGTGGGAACTCTGTCTTGGTTTGGACTGACTGAGAACTTTGGGATTGTCTTATTTTTCCTTTGGAATATTCTGGCTGTTGTAAGAGAAAAGAAAAGAAAAGATTTATAATGGCTTCTTCTATCGAGGAACTGAGAAAAGATTATGAGCAAGCAAAACAAAATGGTAAAGCTGGTTTGAAAGAAGCCTTCCTTTTTTTAGAAATGGCGCTTATTAATTATCAACAAACATTGCAACAGATGAAGACAGCAGAAGAAGAACAAAGAGAGGAAGCCATCTTTAATAAATCTCAGAACTCGACCAAGAGGGAAGGAAGAGGAAAAAGAAGAGAAATAAAGGACTTAAGATTTAAAAAACCATTTAAGAAAGGGGAAAACAAGGTGCAAAATCAATATAAGGATGGTAAACAAAAGGGAAGAGGAATACGACAGAGAAGGGAAGCCAGTAAGGCAGAGGCTAGAAGAAGGGGGGCTAGAAAGGTTTGTTGGGGGAAGAAAGAAAGGGAAAAGGTGGAGAAAAGCTACAAAGTTTTGAAATTAAATGAGAAAAAAGAAATTTTTTTTAGGGATAAAGGATAAGTATAATTTCTTCAAAAAGATTTTGCAAGGTACATAAGATGATATTGTAGTATTGTATCAGAAATAGAAATTTTAAATGGCTTGAGAGTTGATAAGAGATTAAAATGTTGGAATGTTAATAATGATTGGTTTGAAAATATAATATGAGGGGAGATTTAGAATATTAAACTTTAATTAAAGAGTTTATTAAGATTATGGTATTGATGTTATTATAAAACTTTCATTATAGTATTTTGTTTTTAATATTTAAATCTATTGCTTAACTATGTATTTAATTGTTTTAGATGTATTATTCAGTTAGAATGTACCAAGCAAAATCGGATTGGGTAGTTTAAAGATTAATTTGATTAATTTAGTGGGGAGATAGAAAGGCATCATACTCTGATTAGTGATTTCAGGAGAAATTTCTTTCTTTTTAAAAGGAATGAGACAAAGGTATAATAGAGAATGGACAAAAGATATAAATATAATGACTCAAATTAAGATGATTAATTAAGATAGAATCAAGAAGAGTGAAATATGTGGAGAAGTTAATATAGAAGACTTAGAATGGTAAATAAAATAAGTAATGATATGTAAGATGAGCCTGAATATAATTGAAGTCCATGAAAAGAGAGATACCTGGGTCCAAGTTACTTTCCAAAAAGATCTTTTTTATGTTTTGTGTGTTGTGTGATTATGTTGTTTTTTTGGGGGGGAAATTAATAAAACCTTGTAGAAATATAGAATGAGAATAATGGTAACTAAGTCAGAAAGAAGTAGATGAAATAATAATAATAAAATTGAATAAGAGTGAAGAGAAATAAAGGGAAATTGGATAAGAGGTTTTTGTATGTTTATATGGAAATGGTTTAAAACAGAATTATAGTTTATCTGACTTGTTAAATTTATAATGGAAAAAGGTTTAAACATGTAATGGATAATGATGACTTGTGTGTTTTGAAAATCAATAAAACTTGTTTTAAAAAAGAAAAAGAAAAAGAAAGAAAGTGTTTTTGCACTGTAAGGAAGTCATAGAGACACACTGGCTCGATGATATGGAACTCCCAAGAAATAGTATAATAGAGACAGTACAATGAAAGTCAGTGGTGGCAATGTCAGAAGAAACAGCTATTTTATTTTACATTTGGGGTTAAACTATCCTTAATACATACTGGAAAGAAGTAACATTTATGCTGGGCAGCATTTTCACATGTTTTCAGCCAAATAATATTATTATTTATGGCTGAATTAAAAGGCAGTGTTCCCTTTCAAATACTTAGGCAAATGGAATTCTGTGAGCATACAGAACTTGATTAAGTGTTGCATAAACGACAACAGCCTGCAAAAGCAAAATTGCAGTGAATATCAGGTATCCTTCAGGGAGTATCAGCATATTTTATGGAGTCCATCATTCATGAATTCAGAGTCAGCCCAGCACTATCTCCATGAGTACACTAAAGACTAGCTAGAAAGCAAGAAATCCAACCATTTCCTGCTTCCTAGCTAATCTAAATCTCCCGGTGCAGAACAGATGATGGTCGGAATAAGGAAAAATAGCAATTTAGCAGGCAAGTTTACTGGGTAAGGAGTGGGCGGGGAGGGTTCCCAAGGGCCATGTGGGAGGCACAGCCTTGTGTTTCTGCGCAGCCTGGATTAATTGCTTTGTGGGGGTACTCTGGGAGTAAGATTTCTCTGCGGCCCACCAAAATTTTCTCACGGCCCACCAATGGGCTGCGGCCCACCGGTTGGTGACCGCTGCTCTACCATCCTCTGGAGTCCATTTAAGCTCACATCAACTGCTTCAGTGACTCCATCCAGCCACCTCATTCTCTGCCATCCCTTTCTTCTTTTTCCCTCAATCTTTCCCGGCATTAGGCTCTTCTCCGGTGAGTCCTTCCTTCAGGAGTTCCATCTTCAGGATCTGGCCTTCTAAAGAGCAGTCAGGGTTGATCTCCTCTAGGACTGACAGTTTGATCACCTTGCAGTCCAAGGGACTCGCAGGAATCCTCTCCAGCACCATAGTTCAAAGGCCTCAATTCTTTGGCACTCAGCCTTTCTTATGGTCCAACTTTCACAGCCGTACATTGCAACTGGGAAAACCATAGCCTTGACTATATGCACTTTTTGTTTTTATATAGAAATACAATATTAGGTTATAAAAGCCTTAAACTGACATTTCTTCTGAGATTGGAAGTTAAGAAAAAAAAATATCAAAGCCAGAGAGTCTCATGCTTAAGGATCAAAATTGTGAGCAAACCATATTTTATTCATTAAATTAAATTTTGAGGCTGCCCAACTCCTCCATAACTCTGGGAGACTTATAATTAAAAGAAAACAACATATATCAAAAATAGAGTACAGCTGAAGAGAAAACCTTGATACATATAAAACCAAGAAGTCAAAGGGGCATGACAACCATCCTTTCCCAGAGCCGGGAAAACAGCCACGTTTGTTATCGTTTGTGGAAATTCAAGCAGTGTGACTTTCTGAGCATAACACTGCAGAGGACAGGGTCTGCCATCAGGAAGGCATGCTTTCTGGGTGCTGCAAGATGACACTGTTTGCTTAATGAGATTCAGAATGTGTCCACTTTATCAGCCCTCACTGGATTGGTAGACGCATATGGAGAGAAGCAATCCCTCAAATAAACAGGTGATGCCATAAAGGGCTTTATAATGGTAGTTAATAACTAGTACACTAAATTGCACCCAGAAGCCAACTGATAACAGTGCAAATCGTGAAGCAATGGGGACACACACCGTGACACAACCATCACTGGCTGCACTACCGTACTCTATATCAGGTATAAATATTGGGTAGTCTTCAAGGGCAGCCCCATGTGGATAATACAATTTACAGTAATACAATTGTGAGAGAGACCAAGGTATAATTGAATTCCTTGGTCCTGAAGGGCCTGCTGGTTGAAGAAAGGGGTATAACAAGCACACCAAATGAACTTGTACAAAATTTCTTTCTCTTTCAGCAGCTGTCAGTCCAAAAGGACCTCCAGACTGTGACCAATCACACAAGGCGAACAGTAACCTCACTGAATATTAAACAGGGACTATCCCCAGAAACAGATAATGAATTCTTATCACAATTAGGCCTCTCCATCCACATCTGCACAAGCTCCAGTTACTGAGCCAGGATATGGACAGCATCATTTCTTTGGCCTGGAGGTTATTGATGATTCCTGATCCCCCAGCAAATAGATGACTTCTCCCAGTAATTCCATGAAGAACCAGTTAAAACCCTAGCCAGAACACAAACAGATCATTTAGCTAATGCAGAAAAGAGATTGCAAACTACATTAGTCAACATTTTCCAGAAAATTATACATTCACATATGTTTCCCCTGGCTCTGTCCCATCACATATATTGACTTATCCACCCTAAATAAAAACTGCATTGTAAACAACCTTGCATTAGCATAACCAACCTGTTACATCCCACAATAACAGAGATCCAGTTCCAGATAGGAGATAATACAGTATATAACAAATGAAAAAAAAATACTAGAAGCAAGTTCTCATCTTTAATAACCAGTGCCAACAAATGAAGTCATTCAATAGAATCTTAAGGAAATCCAAAACACATTGCTAGACGCAGAATCTCCTCCCTATGAGTTTATGAAAACAAAGAATGCAGTAAAAAACAACAATGATATAATTCAGAATCGTAAAACAACATTTAATGAATTATTTTAAAAACTGCCACCCTGATATAGTGGTTAAGGCACCAGGCTAAAACCTAGGGGACCATGAATTCTAGTCCCACCTGAAGCTGAGTGGGTCTCTCTCTCTCTCTCTCTCTCTCTCTCTCTCTCTCTCTCTCTCTCTCTCTCTCTCTCTC